TTTATGCAAAAATACGAATTAATCGTTATTAATGCGCGGTGGCCACACATCAAATTAAAGAATAATACCTTTTCAAAGTTTATACATATTAAATGAAGAGAATTTTTTATTTTTTTCTTGATAGTAGTTGCAGTTTTGTTATACTCGTAAAATTATGTAAATTAAGTGTTTGCAAAAAATTCGCAATGAAAAAACTTGCAAGCTAGCACAGGGTGATTCACATACTTTACAAATAACCATTTACCATTAAAGTGGTGTATCCACTAGCGATCAATATAGAAATCACCAGACTACAATATTTTCTTTCTATAACTCCACTTTTCGGAGAGTTTATTTAATTTAAGATAATATTAATAAAAATCAAGCATTAGATCCGTTGTTTTGAAATTGTATGCCAAACACACAAAAATGCTTATTTCGGATTTTTTAACGTTTTGATTATTCAAAACTTTGACGCTTTGTGCGGAAAATACCAGAAGAAATGGTTCGATATCTACCGTATTTATAACAGATCCTGTGTTGATAGAAATATTCAAATGTGCCAAGTCTAAATGGAATCGGGTGTTAATTTCACGTTTTATCTGCATAAAGGATATTCAAAATTTTGATCTTTTGTGGGGGAGGTACCAGAAGGTGTGGACCGATATATTCCGTCTTAATACCAGATCTTGGTCTATAATTATTCAAAATTTTGACCCTTTGTGGGAGAGACACTTGATGGAGTAGACTGATATTATCGATTTTTGCACCTGACTCAGGATTTGCAGGAATTAGATTTTCAGAATTAGAGCAAAATTGTATTATTGATTCCCTTTCTTTGCAAAATTTTTTTTTTTTTGAAAATTGTGACCTTTTGTATGGGAAGTACGCAAACATTAGGATTTGCAAAGTTAAGCTGGCCATAGACGAACGATAAATTCGAGCAATTTGTTGGGTTTGTGGTCGCGTTTTTACGTCTGTGGGGTAGTTTGCGAACAAATTGCAAGTTTTTGAAAATTTTCAAAAACTTGCAATTTGTTGGCAAACAAATCATACGTGTGTGGGCTACTGCGCAAATTTTAAGCCATTTTGCCATTTCAGTTGCTCTTCAACCATTGTAACGAAAGGTCGTGTAGTGCATACAAAAAATGGCAAGCAAAGACTTTATGATAGAATTTTTTGTTGTGTTAAAAAATGAAAATGCCATTTGGCAAACAAAAAGTGAAAAATATAAAGACAAATTAGAAAAACAAAAATCATGGGAAAAACTCGTAACAAAATGGAAAGAGGTTGCTTTTTTCTTTCGAGCAGCCACTCTTCACTCCATTTTCTTTTTCTTTTTTTTTCGATTTTTTTCTTTTCTTGTTTTTTATTTTCCATGTCGAAACATGTATATATAATTAAAAGCGCAGCTGCATCAGCCGCTGCATCGTCGCACATGTTTTTTTAAGTTTCCTATCAACAGAAAAAACCAATTGTTAAATAAAAAATTTTCTGCCACAAAATTCAAACAGAAGCACAAACCGAAGTTCAAACACAAAATGAACATCATACGCTTCGTAGCATATGCTTACTCTTCAACGTTGGCCGAATTATGATTTGTTCGAGCGTGTGTGGAGAAACGATATGCAATAAATCGCAGCAATAAATTTGCAAATCACACCAACAAATCGTTCGTCTATGGCCAGCTTTAGAGCAAATTCAATTTTGCCTTTCACTTTCTGTGCAGAAAATATATTTTTTAAAAATTTTGACCCCTCGTGTGGGATGTACCGCAAGGAGCGGACACGCAGAGCGTTCATTTTGGTTTACAACTGCATTTTTGGCTCACAGGGTGTTTCATACAAATTTTACACTGAATAAAAAAACGACTTACAGTTGCCTACATCTGTTTGATACATTTGATATCAATACCCTTGGAATTGCACATTTTTAAAGAAACAGCATTTAATTTAAAATTGTATCTTAAAATCAACATTATTTCAAAATGTTATTCATATCATTAATTTCATTCGATAAATTATAAGGAAAATGTACAAATTTATAAAGTATAAATGTTGAATTAGACAGAATGTGCATCTAAGTGATGCTATCAGTTAATTTGCATGCCATTTTAATGGACCAAAATATGAAGAAGCATTGTTTTGATTTGTAGATTTTTCACCTGTGGCATGTCCAGCCAAATTGGCTATTAAATTCCAAAACTCGGATTTTCAGGAAATTATCCATTTATTTATCTGCCATATATTTGTTTACAATGTCCCTGTTTAGAGCGATTCGATTAGAATTATGTAAAAATCTAACAAATATCCATAGACGTTGTTTTAGCACCAAAGATATACGTAACATTGGGATATTGGCACATATCGATGCCGGTAAGAGCCTCGATTAGAATTTTTGAATGAAACTTGAAATATTGAACCTTTAGGAAAGACTACCACTACCGAACGTATGCTTTTCTATTCGGGAAAGACACGTTCATTGGGTGAAGTGCATCGTGGGAATACAGTAACTGATTATTTAACACAAGAACGTGAGAGGGGTATTACAATATGCAGTTCAGCGGTTACATTTCATTGGAAGGATAAAAAGTGAGTTTTGAATGTGAAATAGTAGATAATGATCTTGAAGATGTAAATAATGAGTTTTTTTTATAGAATAAACCTTTTGGACACACCGGGCCACATAGACTTTACAATGGAAGTGGAGCAATCGCTTTATGCCGTGGATGGTGTTGTTGTTGTGTTGGATGGTACAGCGGGTGTAGAGGCTCAGACCATGACGGTTTGGTCACAGGCCGAAAAGCATCGTTTGCCCAAAATTAGTTTTGTCAATAAAATGGATCGTCCTGATGCAGATTTCGATAAATGCCTTATAGATCTAGAAACTAAATTGGATGCCAAGCCAATATCTTTGCAATATCCACTCAAAGATTCCAAAGGAAATTTGTGTGAGTATTAAAATTCAATTTTCAGTCTTGAATATGACTGCCATGTAATTTGTTCTCTACAGCTATTTACGATATAATACGTCTGGAACATATTACATGGAATGCCCAAAGTCTGGGCCGTGTCTACGAATCGAAACCGGTAACAGATGAAAATACCTTATTGGAATTACAAGACAAACGAAATGCCTTAATTGACCAACTCTCCGGTATAGATGATAACTTGGCTGATTTTGTCATTAGCAATGATGGTTTCGACAAGGTAACAAATGACTTGATATACACTGCCCTACGACAAGCCACTTGCCATCAAAAAGTTGTACCCGTCATGTTGGGATCAGCATATAAAAATGTGGGGGTTCAACCACTAATGGATGCTGTCATACAGTATCTACCACATCCAAATGAACGTAATCAATTGTATGACTGTTTTGAGTAAGTTGTTATTGGCAAAATTAGAGCAACCTGCTTATTGTTATATTGATGTAGAGATGATTTTGTAGGTAAAGTTTTTAAAATTGTCCACGACAAACAGAGAGGGCCTTTGACATTGGTACGTATACTCCGAGGCGATCTGAAAAAAAGTATGCGCTTAACGTCGACTCGAGGGCAATCGGAAGTTGTGGGTAAAATGTACGAACCCCTGGCCGATGAATATCGGGAAATTCAAGCGGCACAGGCAGGTGATGTAGCTTTGTGTTCAGGATTGAAGGTATGAAAATAGCTTCCATTGAAAAATTGTGGTAATTAAATTTTTTGATATTATTAGCACACCGTTACCGGAGATTTGTTGGTAACAAGTACAACATCTCTGAAAAATGCCCAAAAACGTTTACAAAAATCGCTGGAGAAGAAAACTGATGTCATGGCCAACAACGTCGATGATGGTGATGATGAAGTACATGCGGATCTCATTAATGAAATCTTTTCACTGGAACCCCAAATACCAGATGCCGTGTATTTCTGTTCCATAGAACCACCCAGTTCAGCCTATCAAAATGCCATGGAATTGGCTTTGAAACAACTGCAAAGAGAAGATCCAAGTTTGAGGGTTTCCTTTGATGCGGTTACCGGGCAAACGGTTTTGGGTGGTATGGGTGAACTACATATGGATATAATAAAGTCACGCATCTTAACGGAATACAAGATCGAAGTTGATTTGGGTCCCCTGCAAATTGCCTATAAAGAAACAATTGAAAATCCTGCCAAAACAACACTGACAATGGAAAAAGAGATTGCCGGCTCGAAGCAAAGTGTAACCATAACATTGGAATTAGTTAAGGATAAAAAGGACATATTCAGTTTAGATAAATCGCCAGAAAATACAAATAATTTATTGGCCATAAGACCGAGAACGCTGCAAGTCATACGCAAGGGTTGTATATCCGCCCTGGAAAGGGGACCCAAGGTGGGGGGACAGGTGGTGGAAACCCAAATTAAATTGCACAATATTACCATAGGAAGGGGAACGGCAGATTCGTTTATAATGGCGGCAGCCGCACAATGTATTCAAAAGGTAATTTCTGAGGCACAACATAATTCGTAGGCATTTATATTTCTTTCATTTTTAGATTTTAACAGAAAATGGTACGCGACTACTGGAACCCATTATGTCAATACAAATTGTTGTACCCAATGAACGAACATCTGGAATTTTAGCCGATTTGGGTAGGAGACGAGCCACCATCAATGATGTCATGCCAAAGGGCGACAAAAACAAATTGATTTTGGTTAATGCGCCCTTAGCAGAACTATCGAATTATTCAAGTATTTTACGTACCATCAGTTCGGGTACCGCAAGTATGACAATGCAACCTTATGGTTTTACGGTCATGAATACAAACGATGAAGAAACGGCTATACGAAGAGCCCAAGGATTTGAATAAAGTAAATTGTTAGAAAAATTATTGTTGTTTTAGTTTGTAATAGAAAAAAAAACAATGAAAGTTGAGAAAAATAAAAAAAGATCACAAGATTTTTTTGTTTAAGAAATATTATTGAAAATAAACCACTACTTGTTGTGTGATAGTCTTTCGTCTATATTTTCAAAACATAGTAACTTTTTGCGGTTCTTTCAAATGAAAAATTACAAAAAAATAACATTTCCCAAAACTGAAAGTATTGTATTTTAAGATTTTCGATAGTACAGTACCTCCTTGTCTTCCTGGCTTGGTGTAATTGAGAGTGGGATAAAAATAAATTCCAAATTCTCTTCTACAACGCACTCAATCTATTTTGTCGTCTCCGTCTTCCTTCTGCCAACTCTGCAGACTATGGCCTTTTCCACGCAAAAAGATTTTTTCCCCGTATCTTTTATGAATGAAATGCCCGAAAATGAATGTAAGAAAGCTTGTGTCAAACTAAAAACCTATGAATCATCGCTGGACTATCGTTCCTGGGCAAGAGATCAGACGAAACAATCAAAATATCTAGAAGATTTAGTGGCATGTAAATTACCGGTGGGAATAACAGATTTGAGACTTCCAATATAGAGTTTTAGATAATATTCTAGTTTTCCCATAGGTTAAGGAGCACACGGAAAATGAAAGGCAACAGTCTATAATTGAAAAAGTCACTGCCAAGAGCATCTTGTCTCGAAATAAAGAAGAAGAAGAAGCCAGTAAATCCAAAAGTTTGGCAGTTAAAGCTAAAAATATTGTTGATAAACCTGGAAGCGGTGTGAAATCTTCACAAAGTAATGCTACAAGTCAATCACACATCAAAAAGCCTGAAATCTCTAATACCCACGAAGTACTGTCAGCTCACACCACTGATCATAGTCTTAAATCAAAATTATCCAAGAACGATAATGCTTCGGGTATAAGGGTCGAGGTAAGAACAATTTGTGTGCAAGTTCCACTTTATATTCTCCAAAGGGTTGCAGGTAATGAAAAGGGGTGTCTTAGAAGATGAGTTGAAAAGGCAGACTTTATTGACAAAGATGAGCGTTTTTATAGCTGAGGTGAAATAGTAATCTTATTAAACAAACTATCGAGCTAATCAGGATGTAAATATAGACGAGGTGAAAAAGGAATGGGGGAAGAAAGGGCGAGCCAATATGCGCGTCTTTATAGCTGAGGTAAAATAGGAATTTTATTAAACGAACTAACGAGCTAATCAGGATGCTAACATAGACGAGGTGAAAAAGGAAGTGAGAACAAGCTGAGAAATTGTCTACAGTCGAGTTGGTAAAGGAAGTAAGTCTGTAAATCAGCTTAAAGAGAAGTCTTAATAAACAAGCCAGGAAGGAAGTTGTTATTAACGAGCCGGAAAGGGATTCTAAAGACGAGCCGGAAAGGGAGTCTGTAAAGTAGCTGAAAAAGGAGTTAGTTAATAACAAATAAAGGCAGTCTATAGGCGAGCCGGAATAGGATTGCATAGACAAGCTGGGAGGCTACAGAGGACTTCGAAAGGGAGTTTTTATAGAAAAGATAAGACCGCAGTTTCTTAGAGAAGTCTAAATACACGAGCCCGGAAGGAAGTTTTTATTAACGAGCTAGGGAGGGAGTCAATAGACGAGCCGGAAAGGGAGCCTATAGACGAACCGGAAAGGGGGTCTAGAGACGAGCCGGAAAGGGAGTCTGTAGAGTAGCTGAAAGAGGAGTTTTAACAAAAAATAAAGGCAGTATAGACGAGCGTGAATGGTATTATATAGGCGAGCTTGGAGGTTACAGACGACTTCGAAAGGGAGTTTTTTTATAGAAAAGATAAGACCGCAGTCTTAAAGACCAGGGAGTTTATAAGCGAGCTGAAAACCGAGTATATGAACGAGATAGGAAAGTAACCTTTAAGAGATGGCAAGGAAGTCTAAAATTACAAATTGACAATTGGTTCTTTATAGACGAGCTGAGTAGGGAGTCTATAAATGACCTGAGAAATTAGACTTTGAAATTAGACTTTTGAATTCATTATAAATAAGGAAAGGGAATTCTTTATGAGTACGGACTGAGGAGGACGTCTTTATGGCTGATAGTGGAGTTTTCATGGACGACTTGATCAAGGGAATCTTTATGCGAGGGAGTTTTCTATAGACAGAAGACATTTTTAAGATATTTTCAAGGCAACAGAAAATTTGATGGATTGGGTGGAAAAAAGACTTTTGAAAGTCTTCTACGGGTAGAATATTATTTATACCCTACACCACATAGTGGTATGGGTATTATGTCTCGCGCATTTGTTTGTAACATGGAGAAAGATGCGACATAGACCCATTGTTACTTTTGAAGATCTTCATAGAATCACTTTCTGAATCGACAAATGCATGTCAGTCCGTCTGTCCATTGTGAACAAAATGCAGGTCGCATTTATTATCCGATTCAGATGAAATTTTCTTTTCCCTACGAATGGGGTATCAGGAGAACTCTTTGCATATTTTGCTTATTTCTTTCTATCTATGAAAACCATTTTACTTCCTCTTCACTCTAGATGCCACAACAACAACAACAACTACCAAATTTATCAGCCGGTGACAGTTTGCTGCAATGTGCCAACATACACCTGGCCGATTACCAAAGGCTTGTGAATGCCAAAGAGTCCTTGGAAAAGCAATTGCACATTTCCAATGAACGCCTGAAGACCAGTAATATTGAAAATTCTAAAATCAAAGAAGTACTCAATTCCAAAGTAGATTCCAATGCGGCGAAAGATTTCTTTAATAAAATACAACAGCTCACCGCAAATGGAAAACTAAATAAAAATGAAGAAAACGAAATGTTACAAATCCACCAGAAAATGGAAAATCTTCACAAGGCCCACGAAATAATTCGAGCTGAAAATAATTATCTTAGGCGTTTGATAGAAAAGCTTTCACTGCGTGCCACCCTGCAGGAGATATCCGTGGATAATGAAACATCCGATGATATTAAATATTTGCATAAGGAAATCAACGCCTTGCGCAAGGAGTGTAAACTTTTGCGTGGCATTGAAGATGATTATCTAAGGAATAAAATGGAAAAACAAAAACCCAGTACAATAAGCGATGAGGACGCCAAAAATATCAAGATAATAATTGAGGAGCGTAATGCTTTGCGAAACAAGTGTAAGGCGTTGCAGGGCTTAGAGAGGACAGTTGCGGAATTGCAAAATCGTACCAAGGAAAAAGAGAAAACCAATAATGCTCTACACACGAATTTGGAAGCCCAGGGTAGTTACATTCGCGAAATGGAAGGCGAAATGGAGAAGTGGCATACTTACTATAAAAATGAGCTGCACCAAATTGGCCTGCGAGAACAATGTCTTAAGGTAAGTAATACTATAATTGTTATACCCTCAGTCCCTCAAAACTTGCTTCATCGAAATAACGGTCTTAGACCCTAGGTGTCTTTTAATGAAATCCGTTTCAGGACATTTACAGTCGATTTAGCGGTGTCCGTCCGTCTGTTTGATTCAAACTTATTACATCATAATATTATTATCGAATTTGGATAGAGTTCGAAGATGGGCAATATCGGTCCACTCCTTCTGGTACCTCCCCCACAAAATTTCAAAATTTTCAAAGAAAATAATTCACTGCATAGAAAGAGAAAGGATAATCCGATTTTGCTCCAGCTTTGCATATCCTAATATTTTCATCAGTGCTAGGTTAGGTGCGAAAATGGACAATATCGGAGCACTCCAACAAGTACCTTTCCACAAAGGGTCAAAATTTGGAATAATTAAAACTCTTCTAAAATGTGATGTATGTGTCCAATCATCTTCAAATTACACACATCACAGTATTTTTATTAATCCAAAGTTCTGGTATCTTCCCCACAAAGGGTCAAAATTTTAAATATTCATGAAGCTCATAAGACACGGAACAAACATCCGATTCCATACAAACTTGGCACATCCCAATATTTCCGGTAACACAAGATCTGTTATAATGATGGTAAAGATCGGATCATTCCTTCTGGTACCTCCCCCACAGAGGGTCGAAGTTTTGAATAACCAAAACGATCATAAAATCCGAAATAAACATTTAGTTCCCTTCAAATTGCACACATCACAATATTTTTATTAACCCAAGGTCTGGTGTGAAGATGGAATATATCGGTACATTCCTTCTGATACCTCCCCCACAGAGGGTCAAAATTTTGAATATCCAAGAAGCTCATAAGACACGGAATAAACATCCGATTCCATTCAGACTTGGTGCGTCTCAATATTTCCATCAACACAAGATCTTTCATAAAAATGGTAGTGATCGGACCATTCCTTCTGGTACCTTCCCCACAAAGGGTCAACATTTGAATAACCAAAACGATTATAAAATCCGAAATAAGCATCCGGTTCTCTTCATATTTTACACATCCCATTATTTCTACTAACACAAGATCTGCTATGAAGATATATCTATCATTCCTTCTGGTACCCCTCCACAAAGGGCCAAAATTTTGAATATCCATGAAGCCCATAAAACTTGAAATTAACATCCGATTCCATTCAGACTCTAAATTTATCCATCAACACAAGATGTTTCATAAACATGGTAGTGGACGGACCATTCCTTCTGTTACCTCCCCCACAAAGGGTCAAAGTTTTGAATAACCAAAACGATTTTAAAATCCGAAATAAGCATCCAACTCTCTTCATCCAAATATTTAAACACAAAATATGTTGTGAATATGATATATATCTGCCAACCCCTTCTGATACCTCACCCACAAAGGTTCACAATGCTTATACCTGTCATAACTTGCGAAACAAGTCGGCAATCCTGTACAACTTCCTATATCTAAATATTTCTCTTAACCAGAAATCTGATATGAATTTTAATGTAAAATTATAAGGGAAAACGGCGTCAGGAATCGAGAGCGGCTCTGACTTCTCTTTCTTTCTCTCTCTCTCTGTCTCTCTCTCTTATGTGTCACCAAATATGTCATACCACGACGCCACACTCGCCATGTATCATTGCCGTTAATGCTCTCCTCTTCTTCTAGGAACAGTTGAAAGATCTTCAAAATGAATTGATCTTTTGTAAATGTCAATTACAAAAAGCAGAGGTCCAACAGATGGAAATCGACTGTCTGCACAAAGAGTTGGCTAAACGGAATATGGCTTTGCATGATTATGATTGTCAATATAAACAATTAATGGTAAGTTTAAGTTACATATGGGCACATACATGCTTACATATGTATATACATATCAATAACGATGAAATTTAAATTGTATACCAAATGTAGTACAAAGCGAAACGCATAAGAGAAATGGGTTACTGTTTTAACATTAAATGTGCCTTAAATTGCAAAGAAGAGGAAGAAGACGATCGAGATTCGATATGAAAGAATACTGGGTAATTCATAGTTTCTGGGAAAGGAAATTGAGTGCAAATTAGATTGTATAAATCTTCCTTTCAAATCAAATAAATTTACTCGTTGTTAAAAACTATAAAAGGTATTATTTTTGATTCAGTTTTGTAGAATAGAAAAACGATTGAAATATGTTTTTTTATATAAGCCCTGTTCCAGGACTTGCAAGATTCTACTAGACTTGGAATTTTTTTCGATATCATAAAGAAAAAATCGGCTATTGCAGTAAAAACTTTCGACTTAACTCTAGTTTAGTAAAAACTCTTCAGTTTTTTGGGGGTTTAATAAAAAATCCGGGTTCAAAAACTCTATAATTTGACTATAACTTCCGAACCGCTTTAAATGTGACCACTTGTTGGATATGTATTTTCATAAGCTTCCAACGATGCCTAAATGCCTAAATATCGGGAGAGATCCGCTTCTAGCCCAGGGTGCCGAGTACGTCCCTCAAGATATAGTTTCCGGGAATCAGGGTAAAAACACCTACCACTGGAAAAAATCTCGAGTTACTAGACTAGAGTTGTTCCAATCTTTCTTGCAGTTGTAGAACAAAGCAATAGTTTTATATTCCAATATTGCGATTGACATCGATATCATTTATTTTATACGTTTTCATGTAGATATTGGTTGAAATATCGTTATATAACAAGCTCACCGCCCAGACATACAGATCTATTGAGGAATGTTCCAATGAAGTGACGACGATAAATGCCCTGATTCAAGTGAAATGACAGCACAATGGCTGTGTCTGACAATCTGTGGCGCAAAACGATTCGCTTATAAAAGCAATTCGTCTTTGTTAATGTTAGCCTTTACCTATGTTTTTCATCAACTTGCTATGCCATACGTCGATACATCGTTGATAGCACATATATGGCTCCGTTATAGTACATCAAGCTCATCAATAACTCGCCGATAATATGCCAGTAGTTCTGCTAAAGCTCATTGATATCTTCTACGCGGCCGGGCTATAGCTTTTCATCGCGCTCAATTTCTAGTAGAATAATTTGCAATTGTTTCGAGTTATCGACAAGTGGGTGTATAGAAAATCTTCACAGCTACTGGAGGATCTAATGGGTTTATCTTTCCATGTTTTTTTCCTTCATGCCAAGATCTCAAAGATTGTGCGAACATATCTAATCTAATAGCTCGTTGATATCTAATCGAAACTTGTCAATAAGCCATCGGTAGTTCACATCACCGAACTACCTTATCTTATTGATGGCTCTTCGATAATTTGTCGAAGCCTCGTCAATAACTTATCGATAAGCAGTCGATAGATCGTCACGATAACTTATAGATCGTCGATATCAAATTGATAGATCGTTGATACCAAATGAAGAGAACGATATCAAGTCGATAAGTCGTGGATATCAAATCAATAGATTGTCGATATCAAATCGATATATTGTCGATATCTTATCGATAATTGATTGAACGATACCTAATTGATAGTTCGTCGATGTCAAATCGAAAGCTTCTCAGTAATCGCTATCTCGTCAATGGCTTATCGATAAGTAGTCGATAGATCGTCGATATCTTATCTATATCTCGTTTTATCTTATCGATAGCTCATCGATAATTCTTCAATAGTTCAACGATAACTATACGATAAATTGTTAATTTCTCATCGAAAGCTTGTAAATAATTTATCGATAGTTTATATCGCCGTACAACCTCGTTGATATAATTTCAATGGTTCTTCCATAATTTGTGGAAGCCTCGTCAATAACTTGTCGATAAGCAGTGGAGAGATCGTCACCATAACTTTTAGACCGTCGATATCAAATTGATAGATCGTTGATGTCAAGTCGATAACTCGTCGATATTAAATCAATATATTGTCGATATCAAATCGATAACTTGTCGATAATTGGTAAAAGCACGACGATACCTAATTTATAGTTCGTCAAATCGATAACTTCAGTCAGTAGTCGCTATCTCGCAAATGGCTCGTCGATATTTTGTTAATAGCTCTTCAATAACTTATCGATAAGTAGTCGATAGATCGTCATGGTAACTAATCGATAGATAGTCGATATCTTATCTATATCTCGTTTTATCTTATCGATAGCTCATCGAGGACTCATCGATAATTCATCAATAGCTCGACGATAACGAAAGCTGTAAATAACTAATCGATAGTTCATATCACTGAATTACCCCATCGATATCATATCGATAATTTGTCGAAGGCTCGTCAAAAACTAATCGATAAGCAGCCGTTAGATCGTCACGATAACTAATGGATTGTTGATACTAAATCCATAGATCGTCGATATCAATTCAATAACTCGTCGATAGCTTATCGATAATTGGTCAAAAGCACGATGATACCTAATTGATAGTTCGTCGATGTCAAATCGAACGCTTCTCAGTAATCGCAATAGTTCGTCGATATTTTGTTGATAGCTCGTCAATAACTTATCGAAAAGTAGTCGATAGTACTACAATATCCAGTCCTTAGTTCATCGCTAGCTAATCGATAAAACGTCGATATCTAATCGATAGATCGTCGATATCTAGTCGATTTATCGTAGTTATCTAATCGATAGCTGCTCAATATTACTCTGTTCCAGAACCTTCAAGAATCTACCATCTTTGCAATTTTTTTCGATATCATAAAAGGAAAATCGGTTATCGTAGTAAAAACGTTTACATCCTTGCAGTTCTGGAACAGGCCATATGTAATCAACAGATCGTCAATACCTACTTGATATCCAATCTATAGATCGTCGATATATAATTTAAAAGACCGTCAATATCTACTCGATATCTCGTGAAAATGTTATCGACAGTTCGTCAATTGATTTTGTTGTTGAGGAATACAAACTAAAGGTGAGAATACACAAAACGCTTTTTTGACTGGCTTAAGTCATCGACTGTCTTCTTTGTAGAGGAACAAAGTAGTTTTAGGTTGACTTTTGACTTTCCCAAATAAGCCAGCCGCTTTAATTTTGACATGTTTACTACTTTTCCGTTGCCGCAATTTTTGGGCAAAGCTGTTCTCTCAGGGACATTTTTCAGACATTTTTCAGGACATTTTTCAGACATTTTTCTCTCACACTTATTTTACCATGAGAAAAAAGGAAAGTACAATTTCGACCTTTATTTAATTTTTCATACATCTCTAATCTAGGGTGTTATCCAGGAATTACAAACATTGAAATTGCAAGGTTTACAAGACAATCAAACCCAAACATGTCAAAATCTCATCGACGATTTGGCCTTCTTTACCCATGCAACACTGGAGGAAATCACGAAGGAGTTAAAAAGACGAGGTTGTAGCAAAGAAGAATATGAAAACGCAATACAAACGTTGGGCCGCGGTGGAGGTGACGCCGCCAACAATGAAGAACTACTACGACTACAAAATGAGCTGGATCAAATTAAGGCCCAGCGGGATGGTATGTGTAGTGAAGCCCTAAAACGTCTGCAAGAACTTGAGGCAGAAAATGCAATGCTCAAATCGGACAATTGCCAATTGAGAGAATCAACAAAGGATGCGGATGAGAAATTATCCAAAATGTTGACAAGAGTTGAACATCTCGATGGCGAATTGAATGAAAACAAAGATGAGTTGAGGAGATCGGCTCATGAGCTGAGTGAGGCCAGAAAACTGGTGGAAGATATCAGCAACATACACTTGCAAAATCAGCAATTGGTCAATGCCATGGGTGCCATCAATTCCCGAGACGATGAGAAGATCATTGACGACCTGAGGCGCCAACTGGAAGATGAATTGGCCAAACTGAAACAGTGTCAAATGGAAAATCAAAAATTAATCAATCAGGTCAAGGAGAGAGACAATGAAGTGAAGGCGCTAAAGGAATTGAATAATAAATTACAACAGGAAACAGAGGGGGGAGGAGTATTTAAAAAAGGTAATAACCCTGTGCCAGATCATATTGATCGACAAACAAAGAAAAAAGATACAAAGGATATAATATATTCGAAAATGTCAGAAACTGAAAACAATAACTCTCATCATGATGATGAAGCTGCGGCAACAACAACACACCTTAAAGCCAAGGTCCATTCACCCAAAATGACTTTGGATACTTTTAGACCAAATACAAATAATGACAATGTCAAATCTAACTTTCAAGGTTTATGTTTTGAAATGGAACGTAAAAAGATCATGGAAGAGTGTAAACAAGAGCTGGAATTTTGCTGTTCACGTTTCATCAATACGAAAAGTAAATTTTCCGCCATTTGTTATAAAATGCTGCATTCGGGCATAAAAACATTGGACTTTTGCGAATTGGCCTATGTACATAAAAAGATATTGACCTATGGTGAACAGAAATGGCCGGGTCGTCTATTGGATATGATATTAAGGGATCGTCGGGAGGAAATTTTGGATATACTTAATATCAGTTTACCACACCCATGTGGAGGAGATTTTGGAGGAAATTTATGTGAGGATCCATTGCTGAAAAAATGCTGTTCATGTAAACTACAATTGTGCTGCAACAAATCAGAGGAAATGCTCGAAGAGAAGGGTAAGTTATGCCATGTTTTTTTACACCACAATGTATTGCAGGGCATTATATTTTTGTCATGGTAGAAGAATACCGGTAGGTGCATTAACGCTTCGGAACAACTCTTGATATGTCAAAATTTTTATAAATGTCTTTTCAAATATAAGTAGATTTTTATATGTTTTATTATACGAAGTGATTTGGAGTTTATTATAATACGCGTTTTTCAACAAATTTTAAAAATTTAAATAAGTTTTTATTCAAAATGTTCAATTCCAAAATTGGTTTGACAGTTCATTGTCCCAGCAGCAGTGTCTACCTATATTCCTCTACTATGGTTTTTGTGCATTTGTCTATAACATGTAGATAGACCTATTGTTAGAATGAAATAAACCTATTGTTAAATTCCATCTCTTATTAGGTGTGTCTGATTATTTTTCTTGCAAAAATTGTCCAGCAACTTCTTTCTGAGAGAGTAAGGTAGTTTTATTCTCTTTTGCAAAAACAAAAAAAAGTGAAAAGTAAACAGACCGAGTCCCTGCAAAAACTTGCAAGCAATCAGCTGATTTGTCAAAACAAAACAATTTGTGCGTAGTAAACAGAGATGAATCATGCAAAACTTAAATTACTTGTTCAAATATAAATCATTGGAAGAAGAAGAGTTAATGTCCGGTTAATGTTCGTGAGGGCCCAAAAGATTCCTACGCTATAGTTTAAACACCGAGAGAACCCAAGGGATACGGACTCTTCAAATGTTAAACCTAAAATACCAAGAACCCAAGGGATACGGACTCTTCAAGGGTTAAGCCTAAAATACAGAGAACCCAAAGGATACGGACTTATCAAGGGTTAAACCTAAAATACCTAAAATACCTAAAAAATACCGAGAAAACATTCGTCAATCACTTTCCTTTTTATACCCTCCATTATATTATGGAGGGTATATTAAGTTTGTCATTTCCTTTGTAACACCTCGAAATAGACATTTTAGACTCCACGAAGTATATATCTTCTTGATCAGCATAAAATTCTATGTCGAAAAATTCAATGTCCGTCCGTCTGTGGAAATCACTCTAGCTTCCGAACGAAATTAAGTAAGTCGATAAAAATATACACAAATGTGTATTTTATCTGCAGGACTTTTGGTATTGAAAATGAGCCATGTAGGTCCACGTCTTCGTATAGCCCCCATATAACGGTACCTCCCGATATGCGGTGTTTTCGATGATCTTAGCGACATTATTTACCGAAATTGTTTCAAATTTTACATTTGAAGTTCGTAATGGATACTACAGCCTATGTCAGAAAATTGTGTGTGCAGGTATAGCCCCCATATAACGGAACCTCCCGATATTCGGTATTTTGATGGTTTTAGCGAGATTTTTTATCGGAATTGTTTTAAATTTCGAATTTGAAGTTCGTAATGAATACTACAGCCCATGACAGAAAATTGTGTGTGCATGTCCACGTCTTCGTATAGCCCCTGTTTGGTCCAAGGACGAACCCTATTGAAATTGGAGATAATCGGTCAAAATTTAGATAAAGCTCCCTCATATATCTTCGCCCGATTTGCTCTTAATTGTGCAAATGTGTAACGTTAGCCTAAATAGGAAGAAATGTGTCCCGAAAAACCAAATTGAGCTTAGAATATTGTGTGTCCAATTTGGTGAAAATCGGTTCAGATATAGCTATGGCTCCCATATATATTCTTCATATAACATTGGTAACTATGTTGTTATGATATCATAACAACAGATGTATTTTCACAGGGTTACCATATTTTGACACTGTTTTGTCCTATCTTTATATTTCTATGTCTGTATTAGACAAAGACCAAAAATCGTAAAGACTAGTCAAAATGAATTTGAGCAAATGGTTTGTATCTACAATACATAGAGTAAGGCTAGAAATACATAAAGCGCATATTTGGCCGGCTTAATTCATCGGCTGGCTTCTTCGTAGATGAACAAAGGAGTTTTAGGTTGTCTTAGTTCGATTTTGGCCCTAGGGTCGTTTGTTCATTTCCGAAGAAGACAGCCGATGACTTAAGCCAGTCAGATAAGCGTTGTATGTATTCCCACCTTAACAGCTCACGACAGTGGCATGTTAATATAAAAACCACAATTACAGAAACAAATGACAAATAAGAGTTTGAAAAATATAAAAATGTGGTTTCAAAATTGTATTCCATAGATCTTTCCACGAATTTGCATATTGCCTTAGCGCTTTAAATCAGTTAACACTGGTAAATATATTAGTTGTGTTCCAGAACCTACAAATTAGTACTAATTAGAACTAATTCTGCTACAACGCGTTCCCGTACTGCAAAAACTAGCAAAACTTGCAGCTCTCTCGAGAAAAAAATGGCGCTGAGTGGTGCACATTTCTGCTTGTTTTAGCTACATGAATTTGGCCGAGCAAAAATGTGCAAATTGTAAATTTGACATTTAATTGGTAGGGCTAACAAGGTTGAAAAATGTATTGATACATTTCAATGTTCGCGCCTCACAACAAATGTAAAGAAAAAAGATAACTTAAAAACTTAAGAAAAACTAATATTTGTAGTGCAAAAAAAAAAGGGAAAATATGGAACACTTTTGGATGATTCCAGTAGTGAAAAGAACTGGCTGAATGATGAATCAGATTATTAATTATTATTATAGATTATTAATTTTAACGTATCGTCTTCAATACTATTTTTTTTTAAATTTTGGCGTCCGTTTCAGTAAGGTTTCACCAGCCCGATTTGGACTGTTTACTCTTGGAATTTTGACATTTTATCGCATTTCTGCTAATTTTCCGTTCCCTTATTTTTTGAGCACACCTAATTGAGAATGACATTTCGAACTGTTCTCTCTTCTGCTAGTTTTACTACTAAAAAAGTACTGGAACACAACTATTATGATACCATAACAACAGATGTATTTTCACAGAGTTTGACCAATTTTGACTCTGTCTTGTCCTATCTTCGTATTTCTATGCCTGTATTAGGTATTAATAGTCGGACCAGTCCGACTTTTGTCCTTTCCTTAATGATTATTATTTTTATGATTATGATTTTTAAGTATTTTGAAAGTGACTACTAAATACGCCCCTCGTTTAAAAATATTTTTATAATTTTTTTTCTGTATTTTTTATTTATTTATAACATTTTTTTTTAGTTTGGAAATTGGAAGAAGAAATTAAAACTGTTGGCAAATATCTGAACAATTTAAAAACCATTTCTTTGCCAAAGAATTCAGCCAGAGAATTGTTGGAAACGAGAAACAGCAATGAGTAAGTTAATATGCCTTTATATTTTAAAATTTAAATAGTAAATTGTACAAATTATTGCAAAATGTTCGATTTTCATAAAATGTCAGTAAATGAGAACGAGTGAAGTGAGCAATTTTGTCATTTGAGTTAATGATAATTTGTAATTTCTTGACTTTTAATTTTCTCAGTAAGAAACATCAATGATGATTGAAAAACATCTGATTTGTGGCCGATGTAAAAGTGTTTAAAACTTTCAGGTTACAGTTTAGGGCTGTATAAGGCGGAATGCTTATTGTCACATTTTCCATATGTAGAAGTCACACATATCGTGTGAAACAGGAACGTCTTGCAGTTGTGAAATACATGAGTAATATAAAAAACAAATATTATTCATATGTGAAATGACAAAATTTACACATTATAATTTATAAAAAAAATACTATACCTTTGACAACATAACATAGTCAAAATGTATATTGATAAATCCTTTGTATGTTCACAAAGCAAAGTTGAATATGCTTATTTGAATTGAGGTCACCTTCTTCATTTTCCATGATACCACTGAATATAACACTGTACACACTTAACAATTCCAGTGAATTACAAATGCCAATTCCATGTATACATCAAATTAAAACCGTTGAATATGAGAGTCGATTTCATTTGAAGTATACTCTAGGAAATGACATTTCATATCCACTCTATGTAAAAAGTATAAACGTGTTTAAAATGGAATTTTTAAATTTATACCGAATGTTTAAATTGTAAAGTTCGTACATTGCATGGTACAATGATATCAAGGCAGGGCTATGATACCATATGATTTCAATTTTTTTATTTTCTTGGCTTAATATGTCATCTTTATTTGTTTATGTATGTGTTTTCTTTTCAATAACAAAAAAATTGTTCAGAAAACATTCAAATTCGGATGTTTTCAAAATGTTTATTTCATCGTATGCATCGACAAAATCTGAGTTTATGTAGAGAAATAATACTTTAGAGATATATAGAACCTGGTTTTGAAAAGAACTGTTGACCTTTCATTCAGTTTTCGCGGTTTTCAATCATTTATTCAAAATAAATGCAACAAGTTGTTTGATTTTTTTATTGTTTTTATACTAATTCTGACATTACAAGCCAAACAGGTAGACCTCTATACTTGCAATTTTTTCAAAGTTGGCCTACCTTCTCTTCATTGTACCATGGTACATTATATCTCAAATAAATGACATTTCTTTATAAAAACGCCTAATTCGGTATAAATTGGCCTTTATGTTATTTGTATTAAAAACGGGAATCATTCAATTTTTTTAAATTCTATATTAAATTAAAATATATTCATTTTTATTTTTTTTTTTTTTTTATTTACAGAGCTACATATAGAGCCAAATCTCCAATACAAAGGACCAGCTCCCAACAATTAAAGAAACTACGTACTAAATATTCGAAACATGCCGATAAACATCGTTAAAAAGGAACTATTTTCGTCACTTGGAGTTTTGGAAACGAAATGTTAAAAACAAATAAATAACTTAATACTTAAATAGTCCCTCTATTATTATATACCTTGTATTACAATTTATTGATTTTGGGTGTCAATCACGTTTACGTGCCAGAATCCCAAATTTGAAAAAAATTGCAATAAAAATAATGTGTATAATAACATTGAGAGGGACTATGTTTTATGTTAAGTTTTGAAGAAATTATTGATGTACACAAAATCCTTATAGTATATTTGTAATTTAATTATCTGCATATATTTATAAAAACCTCAATTTTATATAAAAATAGTAAAATGATTTAAAGAAATTAATGCCTTGCCTTGCTCATTCAATACGAACTAATAGCATTATTGGGTCATGTTTACATTTGAGCTCTTTATCACGTTTAATAGCTCCAACGTGATAATAATTCTCTATCAAAACATCCAAAAAATGTGTTTAAAAGAATAGCTAGATAGCTTAGCTTTCCTTATAAAAATATATCATCTGAAAAATATATTAATGATTAGAAAAAGAAATGGATTTTTCTTTTAAAAACTCTACGCAAAAAATTAGCAACGTTTGTGTGCTATTAAATAACATATAGCATTAATATAAACTCGGCAACCCTACCTATTCCCTGTGTCTTGGCAACAAAGCTTCTACTTCACACAGAGTTGTATTTTACCCACCAAACACAGCCAGATGTCAAAATTACCAAAAATTTCCCTTTCACATGATGGGATATTTACAACTACCAATCACTTGACTTGAAAGTTAAAAGTCAGAAATTTTTTGTACAAGACCGACGTAACTTGAGGCGCACACAACCACATACTTTTTCCAAGTGAATATTCCAAAAATTTTAGTGCAAATAATCATTGAAAATTCTCGCAACTGAACGATAAGAAAATCTAATAAATATTGTGTGTTTTAGGAAAGCGTGTGAAGCAGCCTGAATTTTCCAACAGAAAGTTTGTTTTTCCTCCCAATTTTCTTCTCCACAAAGTGAAAAACAGAACAAACTGCAAAAATGGCTTTAAGCGACGCTGATGTTCAAAAACAGGTAAATACACAAAACGAAACGAAATAAGGATTTTTGGATACCAAGAAGTAAAAATCAAACGAAACACAATTGTTCCTTACGAAAAGTGTCAATGGAAAATAGTTATCAATGAAAAAACAAATTGTAAAAAAGTTAAGCTTTTTCTTTGACAATGCAAGATGGCGTAAAAGTAACTAGCCCCAGCAGTCATGGGATATGTCATGTGAATATTTGTTGTCATTTATTAATCAAACAACAATTGAATTACTAGAATTTGTGTTATTTCTCTAACATGAATCTTTTGTAGCATAGGAATTCAGTGTTCATTGTCTCCAAACTTAAATTCTTATTGGATTTTTTTGTATGTTTTTGTATAGTTATTTTGTTTTACAGAGTAGAAAAATATATCCCAAGATTGCAAATGAAGGAAAAAAACATTAACAGAAGTCATGTGATCAAAATGTAGGTTTCTCTGTGTGTGAGAGAGTGAAATAGCAATAGTCGCTCATTGAACGTTAACATACTGTTATCAGTGACAGCAATGAAATGTATGCAATTGTTGAGAGAGAGAGGGAGAGACTCATGCTTTGTTGTTGTTTTCCATAGGGGGATGGTGGGAGTAGTTGTTAAGGGAATTTTTATGGTCTTTTTTTACTATTGAAGACAAAACTGAAGTAAAAATGTAAATCTTTGATGTGGTGGAGATGTGTCAACAAGAAAAGTTTTTTTTACTCTTTGCCATAAATGGAATTATATAATGCAAATAATAATGTTAAACACATAGAAGTGTTAATGCCGAAGACTATGTAGCCTTCAACCGGCCTAAATTGTCAACATGCGCCAATGTTTACAAAATCAGGACAATAAAAACTAAGAAGAAACAAGGAAAATGTGAAACTGGATCTTAAAAAGAAAAGTTGGGGTTCAATGAGAATGGTTCATTAAGTTATGCTTGTAACTATCATGGATATTCAACCTAACCTATTAAACTCGCCTTTTCTTCCTCCCAAAAGGTATCCAAAATTACCTTGTAATTCCATTTCATTACAATCCATTATTTTGCTATAATATCCCATGTTTAATTACAGATCAAACACATGATGGCTTTCATCGAACAAGAGGCCAATGAAAAGGCTGAAGAAATCGATGCCAAAGCCGAAGAAGAATTCAACATTGAGAAGGGTCGTTTGGTACAACAACAACGTCTCAAGATCATGGAATACTATGAAAAGAAGGAAAAACAAGTTGAATTGCAAAAGAAAATTCAATCTTCAAACATGCTCAATCAAGCTCGTTTGAAGGTAAGTCATTTAAATGCAAAACTTGAAATACCATCAATTGCTGGATTATTGTTATTTTTTCTGTCTATGTCCATAGGTCCTTAAAGTACGTGAAGATCATGTTGCCAGCGTCTTGGAAGATGCCCGCCGCCGCTTGGGTGAAGTCACCAAAAATCCAGCCGAATACAAAGTTGTTTTGGAAAAGTTGATTTTGCAAGCCTTGTTCCAAACCATGGAGCCCACGGTCATTTTGCGCTGCCGCCAAGTTGATGTTGGTCTTGTCAATGAAGTTCTGCCAGCCGCCGTTGAGGAATACAAAAAGCAAATGATGAACCAAGGCGTTAGTGTTGATGTTGATACGGACAACTATTTGCCTGCCGATACATGTGGTGGCATTGAATTGATTGCCCTGAATGGTCGCATCAAGGTGAGTGTTATTTTGAATATGAAATTAAGAGACTGTCTCTTTATGACGAAACGAAAAAGAATACCAAAAAATAAATACCATTCCAAGTGAGGTTTTTCAAATATTTGAATTTTTTAGTTAAAACAAACATTTTAAAATTATATTTGGAATGGTATCTTTTGCTCAAAATCACTCTCGTATCGTCATAGAGAAACCGGCCTGAGGGTGTTAGTTGAACTTGATTTTTCAGACTTAAATATTTCTGAAGATTTTAAAAATAGCAATTCAGTTCAATCAAATAATAAAAAGTGAGTGAATAAACAGTGAATATAGGCTTAAACAATTGTAAACTATCTCTTCAATTTTTTTGTTCTGTCCAAATAACGATACCGTTCGGGTTCGAAAAACGACTTAAACAGATTCCACAATTTTCCTAATTTACTTAAATTTATTATAGAGGCACAGAACCAAAAAGAGGAGACTTTTAGACATCAAACTCGACTGTTATGATCTGCAATTCTAAATTGTATTCAGACATTAGAAGATGTTTTTCGACTAAATGTATTAGTGGTTTGAAGCTTTTCCTGAGACTTTCGAACATTGAATGTTGTTATTTTTTAAAGATATGTAATTGTCTAAAGTTTCCGATTTTTTAATTTCCTAATTCCCGTCGGTCAGTTCAGTTTTTATGCCCTACACCACATAGTGGTATGGGTATTATGTCTTTGTGCATTTGTTTGTAACATGGGGAAGGAAACTAGATAGACCCATAGTTACTTTTGTGGATCTTCATACAATCACATTCTGAGTCGATTTATGCATGTCAGTCCCTCCGTCCGTCCGTCCGTCCAAATGCAGGTCGCATTTATTATCCAATTGAGATAAAATTTTCCAAACAATATTTGCTTGGCCCAAGGACGAACCCTATTGAAATTGGTGATAATCGGATCAGATTTGTATATATCTCACATATATATCTTCAATCAATTTCGTGTTAATTGTGGACCAAATGGAAAATATAAGTCCAAATGACCTGAATTTTAGTACATCCCACCGAATTCAGTCTAGAGGCAAGTACATCAAATTTGGAGAAAATCGGTGTAGATATAACTATAGCTCCCATACATATTATTAATCAGATTTGTCCTCCGCAGCCGAAATATGCATTCTGTAACAACGATATTTGGGGAAATATATTAAATATATAGAAATACCTCTGCAAAATTTTATCAACATCGGTGCAGATTTGGATATAGCTCCCATATACAACTTCGTCCGATTTGCCCTTTATTATGCACTAAACGTGTAATATTAGCCCAAATGGGGTGGAATTTGGCATTTACGACCAGATTGAGTCTAGAAACTAGTATGACAAATATGGTGACAATCGGTTCAGATATAGCTATAGCCCCCATACATATTGTTCATCCGATTTGGTGTTTAAGTCCCTCATAGTCGTAATATGTATTCGACAACAATGATATTTGGTACCAGATATCTTATAGAGCTGGGAAATATCTCTGCCAAATTTTATCAAGATCAGTTGAGATTTGGATGTAGCTCCCATATATATCTTCAACCGATTTCGGGTTGATTGTGCACCGAATGACCTGAATTTTGGCACATCCAACCGAATTTAGTCTAGAAGCAAGTGCATTAAATTTGGAGAAAATCGGTTCAGATATAGCTATAGCTCCCATACATAGTGTTCATCCGATTTGGTGTTTACGTCCCTCACATTCGTAACATGCATTCCACAACAATGATATTTGGTGCCAGATATCAGATACAGTCCAGAAATACATCTTCCAAATATTATCGAGATCGGCTCAGATTTAGATATAGGTCCCATATACAGCTTCTTCCGATTTGACCTTTATTATGCACCAAACGTGTAATATTAGCGCAAATGGGATGGAATTTGCCACTTACGACCAGATTGAGTCTAGAAAGTAGTATGTCGAATTTGGTGAACATCGGTTCAGATATAGCTATAGCCCCCATACATATTGCTCATCCGATTTGGTGTTTACGTCCCTCACATTCGTAACATGCATTCCACAACAATGATATTTGGTACCATATATCTTATAGAGCTCGGAAATATATCTGCCAAATTTTATCAAGATCGGTTCAGATTTGGATATAGCTCTTATATATATCTTCAACCGATTTTGGGTAATTGTGCACCAAATGGTCAATATCTGTCCAAATGACCTGAATTTTGGCACATTGAACCAATTTTAGTCTAGAAGCAAGTACATCAAATCTGGAGAAAATCGGTTCAGATATAGCTATAGCTCCCATATATATGTTTCATCCGATTTCAGGTTTATTGTGCAAATAATGGCCCAAATGGAGTGAATTTCGGAACGTACGTTTCCATTTTGTGGAACTCGACTCCGATACATATTTTCTTTAATATAATCCTTCTCGAAGTGATATCATGCACTCTGTAGCAATGTTATCTGGTATAAAAGATTAAAATGTCTCCGTCAAATTTAGTGAAAATCGATTCAGTTTTGGATATGCCTCTCAGATATGAGTTCCTTCTGAAACCAAATTATAACTGCTCAAAAGCCATTTGGCCGAAATCCACTCCATTTTGGCTTATATTAGCCATTATTTGATCTACTTCAAATAAATTCTTTTGTTACGGGAACTTTACTAAATATGCATAGTGGTGTAGGGTATCTTATAGTCGGCCCCTTTTGACTTTTCCAAAGCTTTCAGTCCAGAGAAAATTAGTTTTATATACTCTCCTCTATAAGATTGAGGTTATATTTACTTTGTCACCTTTGTCATGACATTAATATTCTAACTGTTGCTCAACTAGGGGTGGAAGGATTATATCTGATTTTAATTCGCTGTTGTTAATTTTTGTTTTGTATTTTTTTACTTATTTAGCTTTGTTATAGACTAGCTTTATATTGAATTGTATGAAATAAATGAGTAAAATCTTTCTTGTCGTTCTCTCTCCCTTTCGTTTTCAGGTACCCAACACATTGGAATCCCGCTTGGAATTGATTTCACAACAATTGGTACCCGAAATACGTAACGCCCTGTTCGGACGTAACGTCAACCGTAAATTTGCCGATTAAGTATCTTTCAATAATTTTTATTTTCCTCCAACCACCACCTCCCTCCTCCCCCCTCTTGTGTGCATAAATTTATTTAGCTTACAATAATAATATTAATAAAATATAAAATGGTCAAAAAAGTAATTATTATAACAAAAACAACAACAACAGCAGCAATAACCAACCAAGTAAATGCAAAGCAAGAAAAAATGCCGTTCAATAATAATAACCCCACTGTTTTGTCTGTTCCCCCCGCTTAATGCAAATAAGTTATTGTTTTGTTTAATAATTAAGCCAAATGAGAAGAGGCATGTGAATGCATCAGAGGCCATAACTAAAATTTGTTAGCAATAGCAAATTAATTTCCATATATGGTTTTAAGCCAACCAAAAAAACATAACTCATGAAAACGATATTATTAAACACAATAACACAAACGGGATATATAACAACTTAACTAACTAACCAATCAACCAAAAAAAAAAACTTAAAAAAAGGAAATAAGAAAACAAATACTATTGAAAGGCATTATTAATAAAGGTTTTAAGGTAACAACATAGCAGAAATACATTATACTATATATATATTGAAAAAAAGAAGAAAACCTAAAAAGAATCGTTTTTGTTGTTTAAAAAAAATTATATAAATATTACAAATAATAATAACAATAACACAAACAAACAAAAAACAAAAATAGTTTAAAGTAAAAAAGCAAAAAATCAGTTATACATATATTTAAACATATTTACGTATACTATTATTATGATCTATTACTACTTACAAACGAAAAATACCTTACAATTGATATACAATTGAAAAAAAAGACAAAATTAATCATTTACAAAAAAGACATACATTCCTGTACAAAAAAAAAATGGTTAATTTCTAAAACTAAAAATCGTAAATTGTAATATTGTATCCACTCCTTACCATCTCCTTTTCCTTTACTTTAATTATGTCGTTGACTATTTTTAAGTTTCTTTTGTTTTTTTTTTTCTTATTTTTCTTTTATTTTGTTTGTGGAAAGCTGTGATTTTTTTGTACCACCACCTCTAAAACATCAAAATTATTATTCAAAAGGCGTTACTTAAAAATAACTAAAACTGCCAGTAAATGATATAAAAACCCCCCAAACAAATTCCAGGGGAAAACAAACGTTTGCCTCTCCCATGGTCCCCACACAACATCAGCCATCTCTTAATTTCTTTATAGAACTTAGATTTCTTGTATTCCAAACTTTTCAATAACAGCATCCTTTATGTTTAGTTTAAAGAAATTTTGATTATCTTAAAAAAATACATTTTCAATAATTTCTCTAGACTTAATGTAGAGTATTGGAAAGAGCAAATACGATAAATCTAAGGAAATGTAACATTCTCTCTTTGAAAACAAAAAAAAAAAAACAAATATCGCTCTTAGAGTAGTGTGTGTGTGCATGTTGCGGTGCTTGTCATTCTCTCTCTTACATTCTTCAAATAACTCCATTTCTCTTTGTCGTTATCTTAGTTGTTGTAACGGTGTGTAGTTGTCCATGTTGTTATTATTATTCTCACTAAATCGTCTTTAAGCGGGTTTTTGTTCACTCCCTTCTTCTTCTTTCTTTGGAAAACAAATTACTTAATTATCTAAATGTTTTAATTAAAAAATATAAAATATCATAATATATAGAAAAAAATAAATAAAAAACGTGGGAAATTATTATTACTCTTTTATAAATCAATAAAAAAAAAGGACCAAGGCTCACTGCTGTTTTCCCCTGTTTTGTACAAAAAACAGAAAAACGCTTTTGAACACAGCTTCATTATTTGACAAATTACCATTCTACAATTTTCTGCTTAACCTTATTATTCTTTTATTTTATTTTAAGAAAAAAAAAAATGTAACCATTCCCCCCTCCTTTCTTTGTATTTGTTTTTCTTTTTATTTTCTAAAAGTATTATTATTTCGAATTGTTAATATATAATTTTTTTGCTTTCAAAATCTGCTGTTTGCTGCTTTGTTTTTGATTTGTATTAGTCCCACCAATCCGACCCTCCTCACCAAAAAAATATATATTGTTGTTTTTTTGAATTTCATCATTAATAATAATAATAATGTGAATGTGTGTTATGTTATACATATACTTTTTTTGTTTTACTTCCCCCCTTTTTTCCTCTCTTGTTTAAGTATTAAAAGTAAAACTTTACCTAAATACAAAGAAACAAAAACAAAAAATAAATGATTGTTTGTGCTTTTGGCGTTATATATATATGAACCAGAACAATTATGAATACAAATAATAAATACAAAAAATCTACTAAAAAAACCAAACTTTAATCCTGGCTTTGATTTTTCAATTAGCTGCTGCATTTTTATTATTGGCTAGGGGGGGCAAAATTCTATCATTCGATATCGAAATAAAAAATGTTTTTCGATATCAAATGTACGATTTTGCAACATCCCCCTGGCTTTCATTTCAATTAGCTGCTGTATTTTTACTCCTGTCCGGGGGGCAAAATTCTCTCATTGGACATCAAAATAAATTTGAATATGCCTATTTTAGCCATGATTTAATTGAAATTTTCGCATTTGTTTTTAACATTATTTCTATTTTTATTAATCTAAAATGGGCACACAGAAATCAATTTTAATCGAAAATTTGTCTCGATATCATCAAATGCATGATTTTGCCCCCCCTATATCAAAAGTATTTTCAAATACTTTGATTTACCTTTAATAATATTCTTATATTAATTTTAAAGTCTTACTTTTTCTATTTTATCCTGGCGCAGGCATTATTGATATTCAGGTTCCTTTCATCACCTAGCTAGCTGTAGGAGAAGTGAAGAAATCAATGTTATGTGGACTTTAAATGTGTGTTTCATCGTCCTTCCTGCTAAGCCTTTATCTACCTCCATTAGTGTTTTTGTTGGTGTCTTGGCTGTAAAGTATTCATGTGTCTTTTATTTGTTTTAAAAATGAATAGAAGGTGTGGCAATAAATTTATATTTTTGAAAATTTATTAATGTATATTTCTTTGTAATTTGAAGAAAATTGGAGAAAATATTCTGTTAAAATTTTAAAAAATACCGAATACAGCCGTTATATTGGAGTCTATGCGAAGACGTGGATCTGCATAGGCAACTTTGGTCATAAGCCATTACAAAATTCGAATACGAAACTTGAAAAAAAAAATATCCGGTGAATAATGTATCTAAAATCATCAAAATACCGAATATATGGAGGGATTGATATATGGGCCCTATACGAAGACCTGGGCCTGAAACAGCTCCGGTGAATAATGTCAATAAAATCGTAAAATATCGAATATTGGGGGCTACCGTTGTATGTGGGCTATTACGATATCGTTGACATTTCTCCTCCAGGGTTACTCCCTTGGAAAGAACTTCTAGTATGGATTTTTAGACAATTTCATTGAAAAATGTGGCTAAAATCATCAAAATACCGAAAACAGGGAGGTACCGTTATATGGGGGATATACGATATCGTGGACCTATATAGACCTTAATCTTCCAGGAAAATGTGGATAAAATCATAAAAATACCGAATATCGGGGATACCGTTGAAAGGGGGCTATACGATATCGTGGACCGATCTTCGAACTTGACCTGCCTGCAGACGAAAAGCTGATCTGTGCAAAATTTTAGCATCCTATCTTTATTCGTTTTGACTCTAGCGTGATTACAACAGACGAACGGATGGAATCGTCTTAGAATTTTAGGCTGACCAAGAATATATATACTTTGTTATGTCTAAAATTATTATTTCGATGAGTTACAAATGGAACGAAGAACTTAATATACCCTCCATACTATGTATGGTGAAGGGTAAAGAACTATAATTGTGGGAAATGTGAAAAAATGAAGGATACAATTACCAAATATTACCTTGATTCGGTGTTTATCGCAGATCATAGTGTCAAAACTTAATGTAGCCGTAAATAATTCTGCTTAAGCCTACGTAAAAAGGGAAGGACATGAAAAAATGTAGGTCCCACATAAAATATTTTTGCGGGAGTTGACTTAACGCCTAAACTACCAATATAACACAGAAATTCAAAAGGTTCACTAAATAAGTTTTATTGAAAATCGACTAAAACTTCATCTTTTACCAGAAAGTTCGAGAACAGAAAATTGGTTAATATATCGAAGCTACAATCCTTACACAGATTCTATGGAAGCCAAAAAATGACTTTTCCATGTAAAATGTACACTAAAGTTGTGAGAAAAATAATCCTTTTGTAAAAAAATACTATTTTGGTACTCGACCAAAGTTGTCTAGCAGTAGAAGAGAACACCAAATTATTTTTCATTCCTTTTATGTTTGCTATAAAGTTTTATTATTTTATTGTAAAAATTATTAAGTATTTATTTCAGTGCCTATCTTCAGGCGTTACAAAATGAACTTCTATGTTTGCTACCATCCTACGATGAATAGCAAAAACCGTGGCAGTGTTTAGTTGGTATTTCACTTGATATGCCGTTGATATTTAAGTTGACGTTTTCGTTGATTCAGAAATGGAAAATCTTCAGATTAAAAATGGCAACGTATGGTATTTTAAAAGCGGCATGCAAGGAGAAAGGCATTGGAAGCCTTCAGCATGGTCATTTATATCAGTGTGCAATTTATATTACTATGCAATAGCCATACAACTACATTTTTATATCCTCCATTACATGTCAAGTTCAAGGATGGGCTACATCTGTCCAGGATATCGTATGGGATCCATATAATGATAACCCCAATTAACCGATATATTTTTCAACAGATGCTCTTTTTCCAATCCGTATAAAGTAAAAATCGTAGTGAGATTTTAACATGCTTTCAAATTTTGCACAAAGTAAGAATTATTCGAAATATGACACCCAGCTAAAGTTCGCAATGCGTAGTTATATCTCTGAAAGAAAATTGTCTATATAGGTCAGTATCTTCCGATTTTCTGTTTATCTATGAATTATTTTAAAATTCCCAATGGCTTTGACTGGAAGCCGGTACGTAAAGTTCATAATAGTAACCAATCCCTCTGTCAGACAATAGTCCATTTCATCCACATTTTTAATGGTAATAGGTATTATTCGCTCTGGGAAAAAATATTCCATACAGTTTCCTATTGAAGCATAAGATTCCTTACAATAGCTTATATTTGGTATTTTCATGGTTTTAGATTTTTCAATGGAATTGTTGCAATGGGTTCGCATTGCAGGTATTTACCCATATAGGCATTTGATGGTTTTTACATTTTTTAAGGGAAATTGACGTATCTTTGCTTCTCAGATGCAATATAAAACGTTCGAATACCAAGTCTCAGCAAAGCTGATTTCATAACCCAATTGTGAAGGGTATAAAAGTTCGGTCCAGTCAAATCTTTCTTTAAATTGAGTTGTGAAATAAAGCCGCTTTAAATTTGAGACGCAGTACATAACCGAAAAGGGTATTCATTGCTTTAGCATATATTCATATGAACACACAAAAGCCAAACAAATATTGCCCTCATTCATTACTGGTTAAATGGAATGGCTATACAGAAATTTTGGCATAATAAATGTGACCATTGATATTTCGCCAGCATTTTGTGTATTTGTATGCAAAAAAAAAAACGTTTTGGCAAAACCTTAAACTTTCTAACGTGTTTTACAAAATACCACTAAACTTTCCCTTTCCCACAAATAAATAAATCAATAAATAAAACGCAATAGCCATTTGTGGTTGTAGATTAAAATTCAAGTCTATTTGTTTTTGTTTTTTTTTTTAGGTAAAACGATACAAACGATTTTACACTTTTGGTTTCCTTAACAAAAAAAAAAACAGAAATAAATAAAAACCAATAAAATGTTGGTTGTTGAGTAGTGTTGTTGTATTTGTTCAATTTTGTGTTTTTTAAATTAAATAAATAAAAAAGTATATAGAAAAAAATATATAATGGTTATTATTCCAGACAACACGATATTTTTCTTAGGGGGTCAAATGAAAAAAATAAAATAAATTAAAAAATTTTTATAGTAGTTGCTGTTTTTTCTCAATACACAATAAATTCTAAAAAATTTCAGCAAATTATATAATTTTTATTTTGCACACATTGGGTTGTTGTTGTGCTCTTCTGCCTGGTTAGTTGGTGTGGTTACAAAACAATAACCTGGTCATCATCATCAATGTCCTTTTTTAATTATTTTATCATCGTCATGGCATTTTGGAGTGTTATTTTGTTTTGTTTATTATTGTAGGAGATGATATTCCACCAATTTTATTATTTCCGTTATTTATATATAATAATAATTAAATCTTTATTTTATATTTTCATCAATCATTTATATATTGTATGTGTATAATGCATAATACCATTTCTTTGTTTATTTTTTTTATTAAATTTGTTTTATTTTATTTTTTACTATAAATTGTTCTTGTTTGTATATTGCAATAAAATATGTTTTCTTGTTGTCAATTTTTGTTTTTTTTTTTCCATTTTACTGCCGTCAAAATTTGGATTCCATAACGGTTGTTGTTGGTTGTTATTTATATAGTATGTATGTAGATGGTGTATATGTGTGTGTGTTTTGCTGTTTATATGCATTGTATGGTTTTCTTTTTACAATTAATGAAGGTGGTGTTTTCCATTGTTACTGCTGGTTTGATGGTGTCTGAGCTTGTGACTTTGGGGGGCTTTAGATGTTGACAAATCCGTTTCATGACGACCAACCTCCTTTTGTTGTTTTTCTTTTCTTAAGAGATTAATGTGAATGATGATATTGCATTGGTTCTGAATGTTTGCCGGTAATGTCTGCCCAGAATCTGTTCATAATTTTGACATTATTGCGTGGTAGTTATTAAAGTTGTTTACACAGATGATAACAAAAGTAGCTTGTTCTTGTTATATTAATATAGTATAGGGTTTGTTGAGAGGGAAAACTCCTCTTTCATAGTCTTATAATATGTTCATAATATATATGCATTTGCATGTTTTTTTTCTTGGGGCAATGTTGTCTTCCTTCGTCATTCTACCCTTCATTATCATATCATATATCATCCGTTTTCATTATTTTACTAGTATTATATTATTTCTTGTTGAATTAGAACATGTTATTCGCCATTCTTTTGTTCATCTTCAGATTCAGATTCTAAAAATAAAAGAACATAAACAATTGCAGGATTATAAATTTGTTGCCAATACATAAACATGTATGTATTTCTATATAACTTTAAAATTAAATGTTTTGTTACATTATTCTGATATATTTGTAATTACTTCGTAACTTTGATATTTTTCTGAAATATTCAATGTCTTTCCCTTGGTATGCCGCTTTTAAAATACCATTTTTAATCTAAAGACTTTCCATTTATGAATCGAAACGAAAACGTTAGCTTAAATAACGGCGGTATGTCACCAAGTGTTTCTTCTTATACCAACTAAACACTGCCAAGGTTTTTGCTATTCACCGTAGGATGATAGCAAACATCATGGCATGAAATTACATTGCCAGGTTTATTACTTTTGTTCTAGACTTCATTGGCCTATAAAATCTATAAAAAATTTAGCCAGATAGTTAGGCAAGCAAAAATCTAGATTTTAATCTGGCAAACTGGGTTGGAACAAATATTTTATGAGAAATGAAAAAATTTGTTGTCGTTTCCAATTTGCCTCAATGAAAACCTTTTTTCGACATATTGTTTGTTTGATATACAATACCCCCGGGGAAATTATATTTGTAACACTAATTATTGGCCTAGTATAACTATGTAAAAGTAGCTAGGACACCCAATTAATGTTGGTTATGGTATTTATCTTGCATACAGGTACACAGCTTATTGATAAGGGTAATAAATCAAAAGCCTTCTCAAAAGTATGCTGCCTTCAAAAACTTTGCAAAACTTGATGATATTGTAACACTAATTATTGGCCTAGTATAACTATGAGTTGAAAAAGTAGCTAGGACACCCAATTAATGCTGGTATGTATTGATCTGGCATACAGGTACACAGCTTATTGATAATAATAATAAGTCAACAGCCTTCTCAAAAGTATGCTAATGGAATTATCTCGGTCGATTTACTTTTGGAAACTTTGAAAACTCGATGATATTGTAACACTAATTATTGGCCTAGTATAACTATGAGTTGAAAAAGTAGCTAGGACACCCAATTAATGCTGGTATGTATTGCTCTGGCATAAAGGTACACAGCTTATTGATAAGGATAATTAAGTCAACAGCCTTCTCAAAAGTATGCTAATGGAATTACTTCATATAATGTATTATAGGAATTCAGAAAACTAATGATATTGTAACACTAATTATTGGCCTAGTATAACTATGTAAAAGTAGCTAGGACACCCAATTAATGCTGGTTATGTATTGATCTGGCATACAGGTACACAGCATATTGATCAGAATAATAAATCAACAGCCTTCTCAAAAGTATGCATAGCAAAAGCAGTAAGGAAAGTTTTTAAGTCGGGCGGATCGAATTAAGATATATATGGGAGCAATATCCAAATCTGAACCGATCTTGATACAACTTGGCAAAGGTATTTCTGAGTGATATTTCATATATTTCCCCGAATATCGTTAATACGGAGTGCATATTGCCGCTGCGGAGGACGAAAATAACAAATCGGATGAACAATATATATGGGCTATAGCTTAGCGATTTCCACAAAATTTGACATACTTGTTTCTAGACTCAATTTGATCCTTATTGCCAAATTGCCATTCAATTTGGGCTAATATTAAACGTTTGGTGCACAATAAAATGCAAATCGGACGAAGATATATATGGGAGCTATATGTAAATCTGAACCGATCTCGATAAAATTTAGCAAAGGTATTTCTGAGCTGTATTTGGTATATTTTCCCAAATATCGTTCGTACAGAGTGCATATTACGGCTGCGGATGACAAATATAAAAAATCGCATAAAGAATATATATGGGAGCTATAGCTATATCTGAACCGATTTCGATCAAATTTGACATACTTGTTTCTAGACTCAATTTGATCCTAATTGCCAAATTCCATTCAATTTAGGCTAATATTAAACGTTTGGTGCACAATAAAAGGCAAATCGGACGAAGATATATATGGGAGTTATATGCAAACCTGAACCGATCTCGATAAAATTTGGCAAAGGTATTTCTGAGCTATATTTGATATATTTTCCCGAATATCATTACTACGGAGTGCATATTACGGCTGCGGAGCACATATATAACAAATCGGATTAACAATATATATGGGAGCTAGAGCTATATCTGAACGGATTTCGATCAAATTTAACATACTTGTTTCTAGACTCAATTTGGTCCCAAGTGCGGAATTCCATCCCATTTGGACTAATATTAAACGTTTGGTGCACAATAAAAGGCAAATCGGACAAAGATATATATGGGAGCTATATACAAAACTGAACCGATCTTGATAAAATTTAGCACAGGTTTTTCTGAATTGTATTTGATACATTTCCCAAAATATCGTTCGTACAGAGTGCATATGCCTGTGGAGTATAAAAATAACAAATCGGATGAACAATATATATGGGAGCTAAAGCTATATCTGAACCAATTTCGATCAAATTTGGCATACTTTTTCTCAGGCCTAATTTGGTCGTATGTGCAAAATTCCGTACTATTTGGGCTGATATTACACGTTTGGTGCACAATAAAAAACCAATCGGACGAAGATATATATGGGAGCTATATCTATAATATCTATATCTCCAATAGGACTCGTCCTTGGGTTAAACAAATCATTTTTGCAAAATTTTATGTGGATCGGACAATAAATACAACCTGTACTTTGTTAACAAAAATACATGGACAGACGGACGGATGGACATGCATAAATCGTCTCAGAATGTTATTCTATGCAGATCATCAAAAGGTTATAAACACAAACATTGTAATATTGATTATGAGCTTCATTTGCCTTTAGAAATCACCTTCTTAGGATATTTACAAAATTCCCATGTAATTTACAAAATGCCTATGATCTAAAAATAGTTTTGAATATACATCATTCATTTCCTCCCAGCTCTTTCAATTTAATATCTTTGCTGGTTTTTGCCATGTTGGGTTCAGTTTCCTCCTTATTCCATACAATCTAACATTTTTGCTGTTCTTGTCTGCCCTAATACCAAAAATATCTCTTCTTTTTATCTCCTCACATCTCGCTCTCGAAATATTTTGAAATAATCTTAATAGATAATGTGAAATTAAATAAAAAATTTATTTTAAAATAAGGAAATACTAACCTTCTTCAGCATTTTGCAGCCATTCTACAAATTTCTTCATTTGTTCAAGGAAATGCATTTTACCCTTGACAGAGTTGTTTTCTTTGTACCAACGCAAAATAACCTCTTCGGATAAGATTTCAGCTGTAAAGTTAAAAAAAGAAAACAAACATTAGAATATTGAAAGGAAAAGAAAATAGGAAAAGAAAGAAGCATGACAAACAGAGTGTACCATTGACAAATGGCCTAGAAAACGTGACAAATTTGTTAGACTAGGACACCCAATCAATGATTCTCATAAATGTTTCGTAATTTATCTGGCACACTGGTACATTGTCAATTGATATTTAAAACAAGACCAATGACAATCTCTAGTATGTGCCACGAAAAAGAAAAAAAAAAGAAAGATTGCAATTTATTATCAAATATTCAATACTCACTTTTGTAGAACAACAAAATAATCTTTTGGAAGGCCTTCATAAAGTTCATGTTTTCATAACAAAACTCCTGAACTTTCAAGATCAATGCTGTTTCGGCACGATCGGTGGTGGCAAATGCCTGGAACAATGGGCAATAGCCCTTTAGATGGCGTACAGCCTGTTCGGTGACAAGCTCTTCCTTTTTATTCCATTCACCCAATGACATGATTGTTGACCATATGATGATGATGATTTCATTGTCGGGAATGTTGGATTTTTGTGCCAATTCTTTGATATTAGCACTGATTTCCGAGTGGGGTTTCTCATCGTGAATGTCATCGATAAGTGTTTGTTGCAATTCACGTTTAGCCTCTTGACTGGCCTGAGCTTTATGCAATTTGATAATTTCGGTTAGTTCTTTATCAAGGAATACCTGTTTGAAGTTCTCTTCAGTACGTTTGTTTGGTGGGAAAAAGTCCATGAGTCTGCAAAGGAAGGTAGAGGTGAAAAAATGTGATTTAGTATGTTATGCATTGGAAAAACAAATTAAAAATAAATAAAATAAAAACTTTATATATTAAAAATAAATAAATAAATAAAAAATAATAAAAACAATAAAAAATAATAAATAAAAAAAATAATAAAAAAATAATAAAAAACAATAAAAAAAATAATAAATAAAAAAAAATAAATAAAAAAAATAAAAATGAGTACGAAAAAATAATAAAAAAAAAAATTAAAATAAATAAAAAAAATTGAATAAAAAATAAATAAAATAAAATAATAAATAAATAAAAATAATGAATAAAAAAAGTAATAAATAAATAATAATAAATAAAAAATATTAAATAATAATAAAAATATATAAAAAAAATTATTTAAAATAAAAAATTAATAAATAAAATTATAAATAAAAGAAATAAAAAAAATAATAAGTAAATAAATTAAAATAAATAATAAGCAAAATAAATAAAAATAAAAAAATAATAATAAATAAAAAATAATAATAAATAAAAAAATAATAATAAATAAAAAAATAATAATAAATAAAAAAGTAAAAAATAAATAAAAATTATAAATCAAAAAATTAATAATTATAAAAAAATAACAAATAATATATAAAAACTAATAAACAAAAATAATAAATAAAATAAAAAATATAAATAAAAGAATAAAAAAATAATAATTAACAACATAAAAATATATAATAAAATAAATAATAAATAAAAAAATAAATAATAAATAAAAAATTAAAACATAATAAATAAAAAATTAAAAATAATAAAAAATAAATAAAAATTAAAGATTATAAATAAAAAAATATATATAAATAAATAAATGAAAATAATAAATAAAAAAATATATAAAAATATATATATATATAAAAAATATATACAAATAAAAAATATATAAAAAAATATATATAAAAATAATAAATAAAAAAAGGAAAATAAAAAATAATTAATAAAAAAATTATTAATAAAAAAATAAGAAATGAAAAAAAATAAAAAATTGAAGAATAGAAAAAATAATAAATAAAAAATGTCATATATAAAATAATAAAAAAATAAATAAAATAAACAAAAAAAAAAGAAAACAAAAAAAAATAAATAAATAATAATAACAAAAATAAAAAATAATAATAACCAAAAAATAAATTTATTTGAATTTATGATAATAAGTTTTTAATATACAAAAAGTTTTATTTGAATTTATGATAAATAAGTTTTTAATATACAAAAAGTTTTGTTAGAATTCAAATTAGAACACAAAAGTTCGTTGTTAAACATTTGCAAATTAAATCCGAATCCTATGTTGATCTGGGAGCGTTAATTAAAGAAATTATTCTGGATAAAATATAAACAAATTTCTTCCTGAAACTCTCCCAATGTTTAAAAAAAAATTAACTTATTAAAAGATAACATTCATTTTTTCAATTTTTTATATTATTTGATAAATTTTAATATAGGGTGACATGAAAAAACTGCAACCAACTTCAGACTACTGTCATTTCTAAGCCAAATCTAAACTTATTCTAAAATTTGATGCTATTTCCGACATTTTTTGCTTTCATTCAATAAAATTTAAAAAAATATATATTAAAATTATGGTGTTTGACTTTGTTGCTTTCTTTTTCCTACAACCCGTTTTCTAAATAAATATCCCCTTTTTTCATTTTAATCTTTAAAGCTTTGTTTCTGTTCTAAATTTATTCGATATAATTAGCCTTAATGAAAACAGTTTTAGATCCGGTTAAATTATACTTACTTGCTTTCAAGACCACCCTTTTTCAGTGTCTGTATAAGAGATTGAATTCCCTTTTCTTGTTTAAAGGTGACAAATAGCTCAACCAGAAAATCGAGAGCAATGCCATCCTTAATCAAGTGCTCATTATTGAGCACCAATAGTACACTTGGTGGCACAGAACCATTGGCTGCAAAGAAAAAACATTTATAAAGGAAAATTAATAAAGACCATAATCATGTGTCTGAGATTATAAAATACAATAAAAAATAATAAATAAAAGAAAAAACTGTTATTGGGTTTGTGTCTTTCGCTTCTGGTTGTAAAACAAAAGTCAGTACGCCAAACAAATTACTATGCCACTCATATATTAATCTTTATCAAAAGTAAACAATGATAAAAACCAAATTTGGTTAAAGTGGCAAAGCCAAGACATTAAATTTCAAAAATAGTAAAAAAAAAAATGCAAAAGAATTGGACAAAACAGTATGAATTTGTGAATTCAAAAATATAGATTCTTTAATGTTTTACTTCAGCATAATTAATTAAAAGAGAGTCTACATAAAGCCCTAAAAATAAGTAAAAAATGATCAAATACATACATAACCATAGCGCTGTCATACGCGCAAGTTTAACGCGTTCAATTGGAGTAAAACCTTTAATGAAGACTAATACCTTCTTCATTTCTTCTTCGAACATCTTCTCCAAGTACTTATATCGACGCATGAGATTGACGAACACCTATAAAGTAAACAAAAACAAAGATACACATTTATTAGTTTATAACACCACACACACAAACGCATCAAAGTGTTAATATTGAAATGTATAAAAATAAAATAAACATACATATAATGCGGCGACTATGTATATATGTAGACATAAATATAGCAAGATTGTTGTATCACATAAAGAAATCTAGAAATTTCATATAAATCTTCTTTAAAAAAAGAAAAAATAACCAGACAAGTAAATATGTGATATTGCTATAGCACACAGTCGACACTAGATAAGCTATCATCATCAGACAAATCCAGTTCTAATATGGTGCATAAAGAAGGGATCTAACATACCTATAATGCATTGCATTGTAAATCAAATTTGTTTCATATAAAGAAATCTGGCCATTTCATGGATAAGCTTCTTTGCTTGAAAAAAAGCGAAATGGTCAGACAAGTAATAATATGATATTTCTATAGCACTCATTCGACACTAAGAAAACTTGAGAGGATCAGTTAACCTAGTTCTAATATGGTGCATGGCTAAAATATGGCTAAAAAATATGGGGAAGAGAGAGGAGACTCCCAAAGTTAATTTATGGATAACAAACTCATTGTTCCCGCTCTCTATACAAATAATGACTGTTTTTGTTCCGACATTGCTAAAAGCTGTCGTTTTTGATATTTGTTTTGGATGTGTTTTTACAAAGCTTTAAACTTATTTCCGCAACATTTTTCCTTGAGCGATCAGGAAATGTCATTGTTTTCCTATTTTATTGGATATTAAAAAATACGGTGTTAAAAGCACTCTCGCATTGTTATCGTGGGGAAGTATTTATGAAATAAAAATTATGTTTTTGGAAATATGTTCAGCAGAAGTGATAGTTTCGGCATTTATCTACATTTACTTAAAAAATATTGAGAATTTTCTGTGCCTGCCTCCAGAATAAGAGGCTTATTTATTTTCTAATGTAGAATGAGGATCATTACTTAAAGTTGTAGAACAAATAGAGATTGGAGTTTCGTCTATTGTTTTGTTCACATCGAGGAAATGTTGCACAAAAATTGAGACGTCCATAGTTCTGTGGTTAATACCTTTCGAAAAAGTGTTGGTTGTTGAACCGAAATCCAAAGGACTTAAGTAATGGCGTTAGAATTTCATAACATAAAATTTCCCAATATTTAAAGGTGTTCATATCTTGCTACATCCACATAACGTTACAATACATTACACATATGATTAACATTTAAATTGGCTTGAATTCTGTTGTAATTTCTCAAAACTAAAATACACAAATAATAGGTGGTATTTTTATATTATTTTATATATGAAAATCCTTACCTGCTCATGGTTCCGCATCGATTCCATGTCCTCTGGGGCTTGGAATATACAATAGTTTGTGCTTGGCTTCTCGCCATCCTGAGAGATTGACCCACCAGGAACTGAAAATAACAAAACAACAACATAAATACAATGAAACACACAGTGTGTAACCCAGAAAAAAGGAAACTTACCCAAGAGACCACCAGCTATTAATATGTCAAATAGTACTTCGCCGTAACGGCGATAATCAAGTTTATTACCAGCGCTATGTAAAAATTTGGAGATTTCATCTAAGTCACCTTCAGTTTTTTCGAGACCAGCAATGACCGCATCACGGAATCCCGTTGGGTCATATTTTTCTCTTTCATCTCTTTTTCTGGTCTTGATGCGCTGACCTGATAGTACTGGTCTTTCAGTTTTTTGACTCATACAATAAATTGCTAGAAAAAAAATCAAAATCAAAAATGTGGATATTTGTTAGTTAATCGAAATTGTGATAAGAGTTTATAAAGATTTCCTTTTGGGTTAATAAAAATGTATGAGTATTTGCTGGCCAAATGATACTATTTTTAGATATCTTGAGCACCCAAAATACTCGCGCAATTTTTATAGCATTCCCATATTACTCACAATCCTGTGGTGTATTGTTTTCAAGAAAGGAGACAAGTAGAATGCTACAAAAAAATAATTGAAATTTGAACCACTGAATTGTTGCCGGCAAGAGGTTTTCCTAACCATTAATATTCATGTTTCGCGAAAGAAAGTTGAATTTTTCCAATTTCTATTTTGGATTGCTTTAAATAACAAAACCCATATTCTTTTTCGTGGGGATTAAATGATTTCTGACAAAAAATGCAATGGAAGTATAGAAAAGTGAAAACATGCATTCCATTGTAAATGCATTCGTTTCCCAGTCAGATATGTCCTATAAGCCAACCAACCGATCTGGTGTTATTTGAAGAATATGCAAGGAATTTTTGTTCACGATTTTTATTGCATCTTTTGTAACAACTAATTAGCCCAGTCATTTTCTCCGTCCACGTATTGTGCGGCAATTTTATAAATTCTAACCTCAATCTTTTATCAAACGCGAAAACAACAACCAAATTTTGACACACGACGCACACAAAGTAAGAAAAGAAATCTCACACACAAGCAATGACAAAATCACCTTGAAAAGAGTCCCCACAGTGTAACGTACTAAGAGAATAAAAAAAAAAGAGAAATCACATATATACAAGAGATCGAAGAGAACCAGAAAAATTCCTTAAAAACAAGAAATGAGGTCAATGAAATTACAATGGGAAAAAAAAATAAATTAATCCACAAAGAACGGCAAGTTATGGCAAGGACGGAATGCAAACAAAATTAAGAATAAAATATAAAAAAATGGCATTGCAATTGCTACTTACATATAAAACTAACAGGAAAAGAAAATTTAGTCAATTAAGATGAAAAGTAGTTTTCCTTCTACTACTTGCTGTCGTCTAGTAGTTGTTGTTTCAACAACTCTTTGTAATGTAATTAATTTAACCTTGTTTCTTTATGCGTTTCTAATTTAATATTTCTTTGCTGGACACACACGGCCTTTCTCTCAACTTTCTATTTCTTGCTGCTTATGACGAATATCAAAAAAATGACACGAACTCAACTGTTGATTTCCAAGTCACAAACGCGGTACGAAAACTTCTTTATGCTTTGTTCTTACTTACTAAGTTCTAGAAAAATTAAATTTTTTTATCACAATATGTTACTTTTACTAATTTCTTTTTCACTTAATTATTTGCTATTACTGGCGACTAAGGACAATAGTTTTGAGAAAAATGAAAATTAAAAAATTATCAAATTATAAAAACGAGTCCAACGAAACCACTTGAGCTCGCGAAATCCAAAAACTAAATGAGAGAAATGACATGTGCTCGCGGCGCTCACTACATACGTCAGAATCACAGGAAATGAATGCACATCAACGCCATATTGACAGGGTTGTAATCGAAGGTAGTAGAAAATCATAAAAAAGAGCTCGAAAAGCAACTTACGAAGAAAATGTACAGAAAATGAATAAAACAAAGAACATATTTAACAAAAAAAAAAAGGAAAGACAAAGAAAACATGTTTCTTGTTACATACACAATAAAATATAATCCGATTATTTTCACATCAATACCCTCAAATTAGCTGTTTTTTCCCTTATTTCCCAACAATTCTATTTTTAATATAACACGTCATTGACGTTGTTCTTCGAACAAAAAAAAATCCATCAACTCTGATTTGACCATGTGTGCGTGCATTTTTGAGGGCAGCCATTTTACGAAATCTTTTACAGCACTTTACAACAATATGACTCTTTTTCTCTTTCAATAGCACAATATCACTTAATTTAATTAAAATATACTTTTGTTTAAACTTTAATAATTATTCAATATTATACTTACGATTAAAACAAAAAAAATTTAGCTTGCGACAAAAATTTACTGTAAATATAGACGACCTCTTTCTTCTAGAAGTAACACACAAATACAATACACTAGGTAACTCGACTTTCGATTAATCGACTTTTAGTACTCAATGTTCTGAAAGTCGTAGTCGACTGTGGACTGTGGTGAAAAACGATTAATCGATTATTCAAAATCGATTGTGCATGTCATTTGTGCTCTGTTCCAGAACATTAATAATCTACTAGTTTTGCTACTTTTTTTAGATACCATAAAGGAAGAATTAGTTTTGTAGTAAAAGTTGTTGGTCTTGCAGATACTGAGCAATTATTTTCTGGAATCAAGTTCTGAAACAGGCCAAAAATCAACCATTCAATAATCAAGCTCTACATATGAAGCTAATATTTTAGTATTTATATTCTTAATTGTCTTTAATACCCTCTAAAAGGCACAAAAATTACAAAATATTTGTCGAAAATAAATATAAATTTCTTGTCAGCTGTACGCTCACCTTTAAGGAAAAAGTACAAAATAGAAATTTCACAAATTATGGACATCGAATAAAAAAATTGTAATCGAATGATAGATTGCCTTGTCAATTGTATCCTTTTAATGATTCGACAATACTATCCATCATTTCTTTAAGCATTTTTCATATATTTGATCATTTCTGTAATTTAATACATCATCATTTAATTTCCCTGTTAAAACTTATTTTCATGTTTGACAATATTTTTAATGACCGGCTCGTTAACCATTTTTCTCATATTCTTGGCCACAACAAAGTCCAAATGATTAAATGTTAAATCTGGTACACGATAATCTCCGGCTAAGTTTTTAATTTTAGAAACCAATGTATTGACATCCATGGGACCACAGAGTCCATCATTGTTGCTCGAGTACAGATAAGTTGGCGCCACAATATTATCCAAATTATAATCCGGAGCAATTGGTTGACCGTAAACCTCCTTATTTTTCTTCGCTCCATAATCCATTTGACAGAAACGACCCACATTATGGTCACTCAATTGTATGTAGTGTATTCCTTGATTGCTGGAACAACTGCCCGGATGGGTTTCCATAAATTCTTGTAAGGCCGTCAAATTAGTGTTTTGATAACCCTCACCGGCAAATAATATCCACATATTTTTACACAAAAATTTTAGCGGCGGATCTAAACCACAGGCAGTGTCTCCTAGACGATTGATTAGACGATTTTGTGGCATCAATTCCATATCGGCAAGTACTTGATTATAAATACCACCCGGAGTACCGACCAAAGGACGGAATACTTTGAATGCAGCTGACGAACCATGTTCAAAGAAGGCACAAGGAGCTAACATGTGAGCAGATTTGATTTTCTTATTGTACTCCTTGCGTTCAGATAACATGACAAAGTACACAGTGGTACCTTGCGAGTGGCCGGCATAATGAATCTTACGTAGTCCAGTTTTTTCAATAATATAGTCAATCATCGTCGGAATATCTATAGTACCAATTTCATGCCAGTCAAAATGCCAGAATTTGGGGCTGTTAAGGGAAATAATGGTATTATTTCGGGAATAGGTATTTCCTCGAGCATTTCCCAGCCACACATCGAATCCTGCATCGGCCAGTAAATAGGCCAAGGCATTGTCTGGACCACCAGATATCCAACAATCGGAATTACTTAATAGACCATGTTGAAGTAAAACGGCAGGACGATAGGCGTTTTCGTTCTTCAGATTATTTGAATAAGGTATACGGAATAGATTCAAAACATAACCGTCAGGAGTGGTTACAAAATGGGATTCCGAAGGATAGCCATTACGACGGGCGCGTTCGTCCTAATAAAATATTACAGCATATTGAAATTAGTATTCATAGAGTAAAATTTTCCCACCTTACCGTTTTTGTTATATTCCTTAATACACATGTCACCGGATCGGCATACGAATTGGTCACCCCAGCCAGTATGACAAGCACAGCAGTTAGAAATATCGTTGTAACCATCATGGTTGAGCAAACTTGTAATGTTTGATGTTAACGGTAGTTATGGTCTATTTATATGAAATACAGATAACATTGATTGCCATTATTTCATTAATGTCCTTATCTTCCATTGTGACATACCCCCTCTTTCCGGCTGTAAAATGTAAATGGTCAGTCAGTCCATGTTACAAATTTTTTGCATTGCAGTTGGTAGGTGGAAAATTTACGACGGATTTGAAAGTAGATTTATGATATATTCTTATTGCTATTGAAAGAATGTACAGATACTTTGCACGATAGAACAAGAAAGGTAACCTCGTGACATATACTTTCTTAAACATTTTTTCTATGCACTGAAATTTGACAAGGAAAATTACAGAAAATGCTGAGATATTCTTATTTGAAATGCCCTTACCTTTCTTATTTTACCATGTTTAATATCTGAAAAATAATAAAAATTGGTAAACTATAGTCAGTTTACATTAGAATTTCTTTCTTCATGAGGATTTCTTTGACGTATATGCAATTAAATAGACAATTTATTTTTTTTTTTTGGTTTTAGAAAGTTGAAAACTTGAAATAGACAATTTAAATCCACTGAGTTTTCAAAATCCGGTAAACTGTAAACGTACTGTTATTGCCTGAAATTTGTAAACAATCAATCAGCTGATTTTACTGGAATTTCCATGGTAGAAGAATACAGCTAGTCGCAGCGACACAGCTGCTGGGACAATGAAATGTCAAACTTATTTTGGAATTGGAAATGATGAATGAAAAATTATTTAAATTTGTTAAAATTGTGGAAAATAACAACATCCGATTTGCGTCGTAAAAGAAAACATAAAACAATCTAAATTTCAAAGTTGATACAGACATTATTGATATATTTCAAGATTTTGCAAAACGAATACAAAATGAAATAATATTATAATTATGTTTAAGCGCTAAATTCTAAAACACTTTTTATAAAAAATTGGGTAATATCTTCGCTTTTCTGGGACAATGAATTGTGAAACCAATTTTGAAATTGAAAATTTGGAATGAAAAATTATTGAAATTTGTAAAAATCGTTGAAAATGCATATCATAACAATATCCGATTGGCGTCCTATAAGAAAACTTATGAAAATCTACTTATTTTTGAAAAAAAAAATATTTAAAAATGTTGACATTTACATGTTCCCAATTATGTATTATTCTACCATGATTCGTTCGTTTACTTTCACAGTAACATTTACTCAGTAAGAAAATCTACTTATTTTTGAAAAAAAATATTTAAAAATGTTGACATTTACATGTTCCCAATTATGTATTATTCTACCATGATTCGTTCGTTTACTTTCACAGTAACATTTACTCAGTAAGAAGTTATTGAGAAAAAATACGATTTCTTCTCTCTTGACAGAAAAAATTTCAAACAGGATAACAGCTGATTCATCAATACAGCTGATTCATCTTTACAGCAGATATATTTTGATGAAGTTTATTTGCGTTTACATTTTCATTACAAAAAAAAAAATAGTAATAAAAAACGTATGCTCCTTCCATGCACAAGGATACTGTCTTAAGGTGAGAATACATAAAATGCTTTTTTGACTGGCTTCTTCGGAAAAGAACAAAGGAGCATAGGGCCAAAATCAAACTAAGTCAACCTAAAATTCCTTTGTTCTTCTACGAAGAAGCCAGCCGATGACTCATGGTAAAATTTAGAATAAGCATTCCCATCTTTACATATTCTGTAATTTACCTTGTCAAATTTCACTTCATAGAAAGCAGTTTCCCATCTCTGATTTGTGTATGTATATATACATAGATTTATAAATATACATTTGGCAATGAAATGTTGTCAAATGAATAATTTTGAAAAAAAAAAATGTGAACACATGTTTACATGACTTTACCTTCTTATATTTTCCATGCGATGACTTAAGCCATTCAAAAAAACGTTCCTCGTATTCTCAACTTGTATTCCAGCATCTCCAAATGATATAACATGGCCAATGGTGTTCCTCGGATGCAAATTTTTTTTGCTGAATTTGACACCTAAATGAGACAAAAGCTTACCCTCCGCTCTTTAATTATTTACTGTTCATCTTTACTTAAGATTATGGTAGAATGAAGAAGGTAAAATCGAGGAACCTTACGTTTACAAATTTTTCAAAAAAATTCATTTGACAACATCTTATTGTTAAAAAGTATATTTATAAATCCATACATAAATCAGAAATGGAAACCTGAATTCTATGCAGTAAAATTCGAAAACGTAAGTTACAAAAAATGCTTATTTAAAATGACTTTACCTTCTTAGTTTTACCATGACATACGTTTCAATTATCCATTTTTGTTAATAAATCAAATTGTTTTTTTCTTCAGAAATAGATTGGCTAAATTAGTTTGTTTGTTTGTTTTCAAAACAACTGGTTATTTAGCAGCTGATGTTACTGGATTATACCCAGTAAGAATTTGCAAACTCTCCGTAACTCAAACGTCAAAATGTCTTTCTCATTTCGTTCTCACTTGTTGGACTTTGGGTTAAACGAGCAGCCTCCAATAAAAGTGTGTTCAAGTTGGTACAAATTATCGAGTAAACGAACACACCTATTAACAATTGGCCTGAGTTGTAAATATAAACATTTTTAAAATATAAGTTATTTTTTTAATTCCAATAATTTTATTGTTTGTTTATGTTATCACAACAGTCAAAATCTCAATGAGGTCCAATTAAAAGACAATGGTATTATCGCCTGTATAATAACATGGTATTATCACTTTTTGGAGTATTATCGCTGATAATCTCAACAATGACATTACCTGTAAACATACTAGTAGAATGGTGCCTAGAAAAGGTTACAAAGTTTAGTAAATTATAATGCAACTCCACATAAGAGATTTTCTGCGAAATCTGACACAGGCAATTGAAGTAAGTATTTAAGTCAAATATGAATAACATAATAATATAGGATAATATTCCCTGTATACTTTTGTTTCTGTTGATTTTGCATTTTGAAATACTTTCATTCTGTTATCTTATCTGTCAACTGATACAGTTGACCACACGAATTTTAAAAATCACAGCTGCTTGCCATGAAATTTATAGCCTATTGGCTATGTCACAGAGCTAACTGTGGGGTAAATAACTAAATTATGATATTAACAAATTGATATAAAAATAACAACTGGTTTTTGTACATTATTTGTCAACACATTAGTAATATTTAATCAAAAAATAGTTCAAATGATAATAAAATGCAATCTCTAAAATATCGAGCAAGAACTTTCGTTTGTGTTTGGAGCATATGAAGAATCAATTAGGTATTGAGAGCCTTCAACGACAGAGAAACGAAACGAATATTTAGATTTTTTTAGCATAAAATTAGTAAGTTGTACTTTGAGTTGTGATTTTATTAGAGCGCTTATATTTACCCATATTATTAAGATTTATTGCTTACTCTGGATTTATCCAAACAGATTTATCATTCAAAAAATATATCTTCTCACGACCGGATTTATTTAAATCCTGTGCGTTGATAAAATTTTGAATTTTAGAATGAAAACAAAAGCCTTACAATTTTAGATGTTGATGTATTACAATGGAAGATGCATATGCAGCCGGTTACCAATGCAAATAAACACTAATATTTCAGCATCTGTTGTCGCTAAATAATTGTGGGCTATTTTTGTATTCTATTTTGTGTATGTTTGTAAACAAACATCAGCTGAGTGGTATTTATATCGTGTATCTAAACATATCTTAAAGTGTATTTAAACACACCAATGTTAACTCGCTAAATCTATTAAGTCCATGATAGAAGAATATAGGTGGTCACATCGACACAGCTGCTGGAACAATGAACTGTCAAACGATTTTGGAATTGTTGTCCAATTTCACTGAATAAAAAACAGGTTACCATCTCTGGCTTCAATGTATACCAATGGATTTATAAACATAATTTTGACAATGAGGTGTTGTCAAATGAATACTTTTGAAAAAAAAATTGAAAACATATGATTGCAATGTCTTTACCTTCTAATTCTACCACGACTCATCTCTGCATTTTCTGTAAATTACCTTATCAAATTTCACTGCATAAAAACTATGTTTCCATCTCTGATTTGTGTATCTTACAATGGAGTTATAAATAAATATTTTGACAATGAATGTTGTCAAACGAATAATTTTGAAAAAAAAAAATTGTAAACGTATGATTGTATGTCTTTACCTCCTTGATTCTACCATGTGCATATCATTACAACCTACAATTTACATCGTATAAGAAAACAAATAAAATCGCCTTTTTGACAAAACATTAAAAAAAATTGACATTTCAATGTTCACAAGCGTTGATGCATCTACCTGTATTCTTCTACCATGTTTAAAGTCAGTGGGTTATAGACATTTATACTATTGAAATTAACCCCCTGGGCTAAAATCTGTAATCTTGTGTGTTTATATACATTTTCCGGAGGATACAAAGGCCGCTCAGCTGGTGTTGATTACGTATACATACACAAAACCAAAAGGGAGTGCAAAAAGCAGGAAAAATTAAAAACCTAATATAGAGAAAATTGTACAATGCCAGGACCCAATACAATTTTTTTTTGTTATTTGTCGAATGCAAGATGAAAACAACGACTTTACGGAAACATAAGGCGTATTTATACTGTTGAAGATTAAACTACTGGGATTATTAGATCCAGTGGGTTAATCATGTTTGTTTAGATAAAATTTGAATTAATTTGAAAAAAATCAATTGTTAATAGTATGGATCACGCGTATTTGGGTAATACGGGCTATTTTGGTAGGGTGTGTTGGGTATAAAGGTAAGAATACATAAAATGCTTTGTTGAATGGCTTAAGTCATCGGCTGGCTTCTTCGTTTAGGAACAAAGGAGTTTTAGGTTGACTTAGTTCGATTTTGGCCGCTCCTTTGTTCTTATCGAAAGAAGCCAGGCGATGACTTAAGTCAGTCAACAAAGCGTTTTATGTATTCTCACCTTAAGGCAAGCACCGTCAAGAAGTCAGTCGATGACTTAAGATGAAGCCATCCGATGACTTAAGCCAGTCAACAAAGCGTTTTATGTATTCTCACCTTAAGGAAGCCCTGTCAACGGTTTTATTTTACTAGCTCTGTTCCTTTACAATAAGAGCACGTTTAGACTACTAAATCCACTCGATTTCAAATGTCAATTTCATAGCGTATACGTCACGTAAATCGTATTCATAAATCTAGTGTATTCGACGCATACGCCATGGAATTGACATTTGAGATCAAATATGTTTCGGAAATCTAAACTTTAAGAATCTTCAACGTTTAAAACTTTTTGTACGAAAAGTGTTGTCCCATGGTAGAAGAATACAGGTAGCTGCATCAACGATTGGGAACATTGATATGTCAAAAATTTTAAAATGTTTTTCAAATATAAATAGATTTTTACGTTTCAGAACTGCACGAATTTAAAAGTTTTAAACCACAATAACCGATTTTCCCTTAATGATATCGTAGAAAGTTGCAAAACTAGTAGATCCTTGCAGGTTCTGGAACAGAGCTCATATATACGTTTTGCTAACATTTAAGATAGCATTAGTTGTGTTCCAGTACTTTTTTAGTAGTAAAACTAGCAGAAGAGAGACCAGTACGAAATGCCATTCTTATTTAGGTGTGCTCAAAAAATAAGGGAACGGAAAATTAGCAGAAATGCGATAAAATGTCAACATTCAAAATTCCAAAAGAAACAGTCTAAATCGGACTGGTGAAACCTTACTGAAATGGACGCCAAAATTTAAAAAATAAGTATTGAAAATAAGTTAAAATTATTAATTATTTTTGAATGCTTTTATTTAGAAAGTTTTGTTTTCAGAATGCGTTGAAGAGTATTTAGGGTGGAGTTTTCTCAAATCCAAGCTTGAAGAAGCTGACATGGTTGGAGGCGCCGGTTAAATTAATGTTAAGTCTGCTAGAAGACTGAATGTCACAAGTTGGGAAGACAGCAAACCTAAAAATAGAAAGAAAATGTTCGCAGTAATATGCGAACATCTTTGATTTTAAGCTTCATTTTTCAATTTACCTTTCACTAATTTTCCACTGTTTTCCAATACGTTTTCTTCGACTAATTCCTCATTCAGTCAGTCCTCTTCACTCCTGGAATAATCCAAAAGTTAATACATCAGTTACTCCAAATTTTCTCTTTTTGCATTTTGCACGACAAATATTAGTTTTTCTTAAGTTTTTAAGTTATTTTTTCTTACATTTGTTGTGAGGCGCGAACATTGAAATGTATCCATACATATTTCAACCTTGTTAGCCCTACCAATTAAATGTCAAATTACAATTTGCACATTTCTGCTCGGCCAAATTCCTGTAGCTAAAACAAGCAGAAATGTGCACCCACTCAGCGCCATTTTTTTCTCGAGAGAGCTGCAAGGTTTGCTAGTTATCGGAGTACGGGAACGCGTTGTAGCAGAATTAGCACTAATTAGTACTATGTTGTAGGTTCTGGAACACAACTTTTGTATTCTATTTGTGTATGTTTATAAACAAACATCAGCTGAGTGGTATTTATATCGTGTATCTAAACATATCTTAATGTGTATGTAAACACACAATGTTAACTCACTAAATCTATTAAAGTCCATGATAGAAGAATACAGGTGGTCACATCGACACAGCTGCTGGAACAATGAACTGTCAAACCGATTTTGGAATGTTGTCCAATTTCACTGAATAAAAAACAGGTTACCATCTCTGGCTTCAATGTATACAAGGATTTATAAACATAAATTTTGACAATAAGATGTTGTCAAATGAATAATTTGAAAAAATTGTGAACATATGATTACATGTCTTTACCTTCTTAATTCTACCACAACTCATCTCTGCATTTCCTGCAAATTACCTTGTCAAATTTCACTGCATTAAAACTATGTTTCCATCTCTGATTTGGGTATTACAATGGATTTATAAATAAATATTTTGACAATGGGAAGTTGTCAAATGAGCAATTGAAAAAAAAAAAAACGAATCATATGATTGCAAGACTTTACCTTCTTCATTCTACGGTGTCCATATCATAACAACCTCCAATTTACATCGTATAAAAAAAAATCTACTTATTTTTGACAAAACATTTAAAATTTTTCACATATCAATGTTCCCAAGCGTTGATGCATCTACCTATATTTTCTACCATGATTATAGTCAGTGGGTTATTGAACATTTATACTATTGAGGATTAACCCCCTGGGCTAAAATCTGTAATCTTGTGTGTTATATACATTTCAGGAGGATAAAAGGCCGCTCAGCTGGTGTTTGTTTACGCATACATACACAAAACGAAAAGAAAGTGCAAAAATATGAAAACATGAAAAACATAATATAGAGAAGATTGATGCCATGAAAATTGTACAATATAATTTTTTTTGTTATTTTCGAATGGAAAATGTAAACAACGACTTTACGGAAACATATGGCGTATTTATACTGTTGAAGATTAAACCACTGGGATTATTAGATCCAGTGGGTTAATATTGTGTGTTTAAATACAACTTCAAATAATTTAAAAAAAACCAATTGTTAACAATATGGATCTCGCGTAATTTGGTAATACGGGCTATTTTGGTACGGTGTGTTGGCTATAAAGGTGAGAATACATAAACCCTTTGTTGAATGACTTAAGTCATCGGCAGGCTTCTTTGTTTAGGAACAAAGGAGTTTTAGGTTGACTTAGTTCGATTTTGGCCGCTCCTTTGTTCTTTTCGGAAGAAGCCAGGCGATGACTTAAGCAAGTCAACAAAACGTTATATGTATTCTCACCTTAAGGCAGCACCGTCAAGAAGTCAGTCGATGACTTAAGAGAAGCCAGCCGATGACTTAAGCCAGTCAACAAAGCGTTTTATGTATTCTCACCGTGGTAGAA